TCCCTGGTGCAGTTGGATGTGAGCAGCTTCCTGCAGCTGTTGTGTCTGACGGAGGACGTGAGGACAGACGTCCCGGACATCAGCGCTCTGCTCAGACTCAACGGATGCGACATCAGGCAGAGTTTACTGCAGCTGCAGTTCTGGACGCGCAGCGCAGGAGGCCGCCACCTGACCAGGCCACTGACACACACTGGCAAAAGTGGTGAGCTCTATTTCTTTTTTAGTGTGTCAAAACATCTTTAATCTTTCTTCTTGATCAGGAGGGAGATAGGCTTTTCCATCCCTTCTGTATAACTACCTATTCTGCACTCACCGCCTAAAATCGTTTAAATCACTCGCAAAGCAATAAACTGATTAGCTACAAGTCACACAGTCAAATAGAACAGAAGAGCTTTTTCTGTTGACCAAAGTCTAGACTTACAACCAAGCATTTGCTACCATGGCATGAGTTGAAGGTCCCAATCCGCACAGCAACAGGTTTTTTATTGATTTTTAGATTTGAACTGACTTGTATTGTTTCTCCGTGACAGTTTTACATTTAGTATTTTTTTTACAGCATAATTGGATTTCTATCTCTCGTCATTTTGTAAACCGCTGTGTAGAAAATGTGTTATCATTTTTATAAATGACTTTTTTTAACCTGATGTTATTTTTCCGTCTCATTCGCAGAGCTAAAGCCAGAGGCTGATGAAGAATCGGCAGGGGTCACTCTCCCTCCCTGTGAAAGCGGCTGCACAGAGAGCATGCTGGGTCTTCTGAATGTGGAGCCTGAGAGAGACATGTGGGAGCTGCTCAGGGTAAAACATTACATTACCACAAACACTGCTTAGATGAAGAACATGTACCAAGTTGAGTCCTTGATTCACCCTGTATGTGTTGTCAACAGGGTCCGGGCGAGGAGACGTTACGCTGGGAGCTTCTGACTCACTGCAAGCATCGAGGAGTGGACCTGCTCTATTCCAACATGGAGACTCTCTTACCTCTACCACACACACAGCTGACTACCTCCACATACAAACCAGAGCCATCTGTCCCTGCCGCACAAGAACATCCTGCTGAGCCAAAAGAGCTGCCATCACATACCAGGTTACTACAAACCTCAGAGTCTGCAGATTGCTCCGAAGACAGCAGTCCAGTGAAGATGTCCAAGAGAATGAAGAAGAACAAGAAGCGGCACTGTCTACCTGAAAGGGACGGACTGAACTCCGACTCGGAGTCAGAAGACGGCTTTCTATCCCTCTGCAAGCCGCAGGGCGCTCCTCAAGCGAAGGAGGAAGTCAAGGAGACTTTGGTTTCCCAGAAGGTGAAGAGAAAGCCTCTGACTCCAGAGGAGAGGCTAAAAAGTCTCCCCGTCTCGCAGTGTCTAGACTCAATAGCTGACTTTTTCGACAACATGTCGTACATGGACTCCTTGCTTGTTGGGGGTGACGAGCGCAGAAATATGTCCTCGCTGGGAGCGGTACTGAAAGACGGGATGACCGATGAGTCGCGGCTGGAGTCTGACAGTGAGAGCTGGATGAGAGCAGAGCGCATCATGGAGATCCCTGCCGCTGTGGAGGCTCTGAGCTTCAACAGGTGTCGGGCCGCAGCAGTGGAGGCCTGGAGGAGAGCCCAGCAGCTGCAGGGGGAGCTGGGAGAGCAGGCAGCGGCAGAGCTCACCCTGCCTGTAGCTGCTCATTGTGAGGGTTACAGCTTCACCCAGGACGGCCCCTCTCAACCACAGTGAGTGATGCTTGTCATTTATAAACTAATGCACTGTGGCGTAGGGCTGTGCAATTAATCATATTTTAATCTCGATTACGATTTTGGCTTGCAACGATTACGAAAACAACGTAATCGAAATAAAACGATTATTATTTTTTATTAAAAATAATAATAAATGTAGTTATTATTATTTATAATATTTTTTTGTTTTTTCAGTTGAATTATGCTTAAAGTACCGGGTAATCAACTGTTTAATCAACTAGTTTGTAATAATCGTGATATCAATTATTGACAAATAATCGTGATTATGATTTTTGCCATAATCGCACAGCCCTACTGTGGCGTAGTCACCATGGTCAAGGTGGACATTGGTCACTGAATGAACAAATTCTAACCCCGACCAGTTAAACCTCTGAACCCTAAAGCTCACCTTGAACCCTTTTCACAAAAATATACAACTCCTTATGGAAACAGCAAAATAACAGCTAGAAATGGGGATATCTCAAAAATGTCTTTAGTGCAGAATAATAGTTGTAATGCCATAAATGATACAAATAATAAATACAAATGTTTCACTTTGCCTTTCCCAAATATCGAGATCTCACCATGTCTAAAGTGTATAACTATATATATTTGTAAAAGCTACACTTGCATCCTCTCGTTTCCTGCCATCTTTGCTCCGGGTAATCTTATATGTTGTTAGTTCACCTGCTGAAGTGCTTGTCTCCAAAGATTAGTTCAAGGACATCTGTTGATGTTTTTAAAATGTCTTGATATGATGTGTTATTTTTGTGGGGAAAAAATAAAATATTATTTTCAAAGCTACAGAAGGGGTTGCTCCATAAGGACCAGTTAAGATAAGATATACTTGATTTTTGGGCTTCAACGCCACAATGCAATCATAGATCATCATAAATAGACTCATGCATAAGAAGTTCAAAGGCTGATGAAGTGTTTCGATGTGTTCCAGGATGGCCCAGCGGAGGAGGAAAGTGATGGACAGTCTGATGTTCAGAGGAGTTTCTGGTACTCTGGGAAACAGACCAGCCGCTGCTCTGGATTATTTACCCACCCTCCGCACCGTCTGCAGATCAGAGCAGCTGAAGGAGCAGGGCAAGGTTAAACGAAGGTGAGCATGCAAAAACATTAATAAGCTATGTACTTGGCCAAAAGCACTAGGGTCTGGGTTTGAAGCATGGATGTATTTTAAGAACTGAATGCGACCGAGGTAGGGCCTCATTCAGTCCTATGAGAACTGCTCTGGCTCATGAAGACAAAATGGCCTGACGCTGTCGAGAGCAGAACCTCACAAATGATCCATCATGCCTGGCTGTCGAGAGCACAAATACCTGTATGTGCGCTCATAGAGCATGCACAGTTGAGTTTTCCATTAAGCCCCGCCTCTGATCTCCCGCTCTCGGCTCAGTAGAATGAATGGAGTGAAAATAAATCTGGATTCAGCTTTTAGCGCATTTTACAACTTTTAAAACCTAATGATATAAATAAGGGCTATAAAAGTGTTCTAACTGGGTCGTTTATTTAGTTTTAAAAAAAATGATATTCTGATTTACAGACGTCTCTTTCCCAATGTAACTCAACGGGAGAAAGTGTTTTTGGGCTCAGTGTCCGGCACACTTCCTGGGGGCTTGGTTTAAAGTTATGATGTAGGATTTGATTTTGACACAAAGTGCATATAACTGACGGACTACAAATACATGTGTTAAAGTGTAAACAGAAGACTCTTAAGCAGTTTTTTTCCTCCTCTAGGTTCCTGCACTACCTGGAGGCGATCCACCTCGGTCTAGACAAGACAACTCTGCAGCTCCTGGCTGAAGACTTCCCCTGAACCACTGAGGGGAAAGCTCCATATTAATTGGCTATTTAATTGGAACACTTTTGTTTTTTCTGTCTGCCCCTTTGTCTCTTATGATTCTGACCTGGTCAGAGGTGTGTGTGCACAATGGATGCCGGGTGAGGTTTCCACATATTTATTCCAAGATGGAAATGACTGAATCACTAAATACAGAACATGTATTCTCACCTGAAGGGGCCACAGCTAAATCACCTCAAATGTTGTCACATCTTTAGAATGCACTAAAGAGTTCTACTTTATATAATGTTTGTAATATTGAGCGCTGCTGGAGTGTGTTTTTGTACAGTTGTGTTTTATTCGTAGAAGCCTCATTTATAATTTTCTTTTGGAAATTGCTTTTGAGGCGCAAATATGTTTCATTGAAGATTTGTATTGGATTCACATGTAAAATAGAGGTTGTAAAGGATGGTATACATTGTTATTCTCCACGCAAGTTCACCTACATCACCTTCACACAGTGACTTTTTTTTATTTGTTATTTTTTGCTTGTTTTTTAACCTTAAATATACATTCACAGTGGATTTTTGTTTTGACCAAATAAAGGTTTATAACAACTCAATTAATAGATCTCTCATCGTGTATGTGCTTGAGGTGAGATAATACAGTCAAAAACATGTTTCATGCACTGGTCAATTGTTAGGGTTAGAAAAGTGGAGGAAAGTCATTACTATTACATTTTAGTTTTACTAACTTCGTTTATTTGCGTCTTTACATTTTTCCTAAAATCACCAAAAGTCAACTTTAGACTGCATTTGCATATATAAATATAACATTTCCGAAAACTTGCAATGTAAACATTTGTTGTCTTAATACAACTAATGAACTGCGAGACTTTCAAGAAGATGAGTATTTCTCACCTTCTTGCAACAGGCGGAGTTCTCCGAATTAGTTTTTTTCTCATACGTTGAGGAAGAAATCTCCACCAAAATAGCACAAACTTTCCAGCTCCATTTCTATCTATATTCTGAAGGTTTTGTTATACATCTTTTTAAACCCTTAATTATTGAACATTTGCTTCATAAAAACATGGCTGTTGATAGTATTTTCTGATCTATGTATACAAAAAAATCCTTCTGCAAAAATAGGTAGTAATAATTCAACAAACTACAGTAAAATGTTTAACCTATAGCTTCATCATATAAGATGTTTGACAAAATAAGACATTTTCTTATTTACATGTAAATATCAGATAAAACAACAAAACAATCAAGTGGGTAACGTTCATGGTGACAATAGTTATAAACTTCACACAGTCTACGGTTAAAGGTCTATTGTCCTGCAGTGACTCCTGGGATCATTCAGTGAGTATTTTGGAGGCAGGCACAAATGGTTCATTACGCTAAATGCGCAAAGCCTGTAAATTCACTGCAGTGGTTTGACCGGTTTTCGCAAAGACTTGGCGGGTTTTTTTTGTGAAACTACTTTGCACAGAGAGATAATCTATTAAAGGACAACCCCCAGTGACAGAAAGGTAAACAGGTCCGCACCGGCTTCGTGTTTTAACATTCAAAACGTTTCTTATTTGTCACATGTTCCAGTTTTCAGATGCATTTTGCCGCGCGTAAAACCATGTGAGCAACATGTTTAGTTTAGAAAACGCGATTCTTTGTCGAAATTTAGTCGTGACCTTATACCAAAATGGCAAACCACGAGCGGAACAAAAATATTTTACTGGAACTTATAAAGCTGCCGGACAACAGCCGGTGCGCGGACTGCGGGGCTCCTGGTAAGCAACATGTATATTAACACGCATTACACGATTTTGTATCTATATTATAAGCTTATTTCAAATATTTAAATGTAAGATACACAGAGCCAACACTCTTTAGATAAGAAGAAAAAAAGTAAGCTTAAATCTGATATTTCAAAGCAGTTGTGTTATTGTCAGGTGACTGTGAATGTAATTCTGTCAATGCAAACAAGGCTGATTTACCAACCAGGGAAAGTGGGCAAAAGCCACTGTAGTTTGATTTACTCTAATGTTGTATGGGAAAATGCACACTGATGCATGAAGTAAGTCCACGTGTAGCATAGAAAATAAAGTGTCTTGCATAAACCACTTTCTTTTTTTCATTCAACTTGATAGTAGTAATATCTTCATAACATCAGAATCTTAAAAAAGAAGAAGTTACATTAGAGCTTAACACATGTACAAGATGTAAAACATGATAAATAGATGACATCATTTAAGAAAACAATAAGATTAAGAAGAGATTTAAAAGACATAGGCTATTCCAGTAAAAAAAAACAGCATAAAAGCCAGGACAATCTGGCCTTGAGTGTTTAATGTTAGTCCCACTTCTTCTGCACACCTCAGATCCAGAGTGGGCTTCCTACACACTGGGTGTGTTTGTGTGTCTGAACTGCTCTGGCATCCACCGCAGCCTGTCCAGCCGGGTCAAATCCATAAAGCTGGACTACTGGGATGATAAGATGGTAGAGGTACTGTCCCCCTGCCTTTCTTTTCAAATGATTGATCCAATAAGATATTCTTCAGGTGAACTGTAACCTTCAGGTGTGTCTTTTTTATTAAGTTCATGAAGTCCAATGGCAATGCCAAAAACCGAGCTTTGTACGAGAAAGCTGTTCCACCATACTACTATCGGCCCAAGGAAAGTGACTGTGTGTAAGTAACTTTTGACAAAAACTGTCTTAGAAATGTAATATGTTATTATGTGTGCCAAGTGCTGACAATGCAATGCCACAACAATAGTGCAACTCACTGTAGAAGATGCAATTCTGCTGCTAATTCAAAGCTTAACAATTAATTTCCTTGTAGTGATACTGCAGCTTATAATAGCCACTGTTTGTAGAAGTGTGTTTTGCCTGTCTAAAAATATTTGTATGTCTGTCTCTTGAACCTCAGCGTCTTAAAAGAGCAGTGGATTCGGGCTAAATATGAAAGGATGGAATTCACAGGAGAAACCAAGTATCCACCACTATCTTACACCACAGGTGACGTTTTCACAGTTTCAAACACACGCCTACTGCAGAACAAAAACCCTTATCAGCCTGTTGTCGTTACACTACAATGAACAATATGGTTCCTCATGCAGATTAGAACCGTGCAAGAAAAACCTGTGCTTTGCATTACAAAACAGCCAGGAAGTGAGAGCTGGACAGAGTTTTTTCTATATGTTTACCTGAACAAAACGTTAATAATTTTAAGACTCGGGTGTATTGCCTCATCTTTGACCCAGTACACTTTTTGTTTTATAACCAGGTTTCTATGAAGGGATGCTTTGGAAGAAAGGGAAAGAGAACACACAGTTTCTGAAGAGGAAGTTCGTACTGTCAGAGAGAGAATTTACTCTGACCTACTACAACAAGGAAAATGTGTGTTTCCTGCAGATTTTACACATTTAATCTGCACTGTATGCCATACATAAAACCACTATTTTAATATATTTTACATGTGTAATCTAAAAGCATGAGTATTGATATTATCTTGTCCAATCTAAAGGAATATATTGGCTCTTTTGTAAGAGGGCTTGAGTTATCTATAGTCAGTGTAATATCTACAGTAGATTGCAGTCAGCACTTTGGTGCATTCATACTAAACCTTTAAAACAATAAGTCACTTAACAATACAAACAAACAACCTTAGTTAGTTCCTCATAACGCCCTACTTAAAAAAATCTGAACTATCCCTAAATGTTAACATTCTCTGAATGGCATGGTTAGCATGCAGATTTTTAGCAGGTTAAATGTTTACTTCGTTCACCATCTCAGTTTGGTGTTCAGCATGCTAAGGTTTGCTAATTTGCACTAAAACAAAGTACAGCTGCGTTATTACAGTCCAGACCAAAATGTAGGACTGGCCTGGCTACAACATTGCCATCACTAATATCGCAATTTCTATAAAATGAGTTGCATTTTTATTGATCAAGGTTTTCTATCCTTACTACTAACTCTGCTCATCTATTTGTGATCCAGGAGTCCAAAGGCCCTAAAGCTTTAATCTCCATCAAGGACATAAACGCCACTTTCCAACCAGAGAAGATTGGTCATCCCAATGGGCTGCAGATCACCTACCAAGACGACGATCACACCAGGAACCTCTATGTCTATCACGAGAGTCCTCAGGTGGGATTGCTTAATCATCGAAAGCATAAATAACAGTTACCAGAAATGTTTGTACTGATTTTTAAAAGCTTAGTGTCTGTGCCTTTACTCCAGGAAATAGTGACATGGTACAATGCTATTCGTGCTGCTCGCTATGCATACCTGAGGACAGCGTACCCCACTGGAAGGGATGCAGAAGTAAGCATCAAACCTTCTCAAAACCATAATGACTGACAAGATGATGCACATTAACATGCATGAAAAAACACACTAAATGCAGTGGAAATCAACGGCAATAAAGAGACCTTTTTGCCTCTTTTTGCTTTATGTTTTAAAGCTTAACACACAATGTTGTCTCTCTGTCAGCTGATACCAAAGATAACAAGAAACTACCTCAAAGAGGGCTACATGGAAAAGACAGGGCCATTGGTAAGTTGGTAAAGAACCAAACATTAAATATAAATATGATTTATTTGTACATTTATATTGTCAGCACTTGAAAGCAGCTTTGACTTACGCATGCAATGAGAAAAGCACTCAAGGCACAGTCTTCCCTAGCAGAGTTGGTGTTGTTAGTGACAGTAGAAACACAATGAGAGGGTTTTTTGTTCCTCTTACATACTCACGCAAATCACACAGAAAATGTAATGATCTCTTTTGTAAGAATGGATATAAGGATCTATGGAATTGAAGCTTGGGCAGAAAATGTGCCAATTTACCCAGTACATTTTCTAGTGAAGCATTACATGTTTGTTTTTTTACAGCAAAAGGAGCCATTCAAAAAGAGGTGGTTTGTTTTGGACTCTCAAAACAGGAAGCTCTTCTACTTCAAAGGCCAGCTGGTGAGGAACTCTCTTTATAACCCAATACTTTCTTTAATGATGTTTGTCAAGCACTTGAAACAACCTTTATGTGTGTCTTGTTTTCCTCACTGAATGTAGGATGCAGAGGAGTTAGGGGTGGTGTTCATCGGCACAGAGAATAAAGGTTACTCTGTGAAGGAGTGTGTCCCAAAACATGCTCAGGGAAACAAGTGGAAGTGGGGTGTCATGGTGGAGACGCCCAAGCGACAGTTTGTCTTCATGTGCGAGCAGGACAGGGAGCAGAAGGAGTGGCTGGATGCCCTCAAACTGGTCCTGTCCAGACCCATGTCTCCACTGCACCAGTAAGCAAGGCCAGAAAATACTAAGCTAAGATATTAGAGGAACATTTCAGGTTTTACAGCTCCAAAATGACAGAAATAAGTACAGTAAATGAGAAAAGAATACAGGAATACATAAAATATACAAATGGTTTAATAGAAACTTTAGCAATTAAAGGAAAACTTAGAAAAACTGAGGTCCTGACAAGTTAAAGTAACAAGGTAAAGTGTCAGTATGGTAAAATACTGATAATATAATAAAATAATTACAGTGCAGTTGTACAGTGTAGTGACGTTGCCATGCACAAATCCATGCTACTAATGTGCTTAATACAATAATATAAGAGTTACTCAGTAGTTTTGGTTCCTGTTGCAGGTGGTTTTCTAGTCAACCACAGCATTAATCATTCATGTGCAGATTATGCTCTAATGTTTTGCTTTTTTTCTCATTCCAGTTGAAGCCAACCTCAAGTATAAAAGATGAACAACAGATATGTATGTGAACAGAATCTCAGGAGGAAGACTGCAGGGTTTTAAATCACTTTCAAATACTGCAGTGATCTGCTGTGCCTGGGCCGTATCAGCACTGATTTATTGCTCTGTAGATAGTGTCACTTGTTATGACCCTGGGTCATTATGCAGGTGGTGCCCGTTAGCTGATTGGCTGCCTTCGACAGGCTGATTGGTCCACCTGAAGAGACAGGAGCATTTAAGCTGCAGCCACCAGTTCCTCTGCCCTCTGTCTCATCGACCTCTCCTACTCCTAACTCCGTGTCTGTTGTAGAACACCTGATCTATTGTTCTGTGTGGTTAAATCTAACGAGTAACGGTCCTTTTGTCTATTTTGGTATCTTTGTAAAGATAAGCTAATTTAATCTGTCTTGAAAGACACGCTTTGCTTTGCCCAGGAGTGCGACACCCTTTTCTTTTGTTCTTCTCCTGTTTTTTCGTTAGGTTAGGTAAGAAGCCTGTATTTTATTTGACTTATTTTGTTAGGAAAATATTTATGCATGCCCAGGGTTATTTGTTTATGTGGGTTGTCTCGCCTCCTTTAAAAACAAACAGGTAATTAAAATTACCAAAGGTATTTTTCTGTCTCAATGTCCATTTCTTGGGAGTGGGGAGAGTGCAATTTTGTGCTGCGCCTAGGTTCCCCTAGACCTGGGCGTAACACACTTCAACTGACACTAGATCTCATGCTTCATCTGAGACTTCAGGAAATACTGTATCATTATGTGAAAATCCACACTTATAAACTGATGACTGCAATCGCTTTATGGAAGTTTTTAAAACAAAAATTGAAAATATCAGGCTTAACATCGCCAAAGCCTCCTCAAACCAACCTGCCTCTCCACAACATCCTGTACTTGCTCCATCAAATGCACCAACCCTAAACTGCTTCACGGAGGTCACGCAAGCTGAGCTTTCAAATATAATCTCAGCTATGACCTCATCTAGCTGCGCCCTTGAGCCTATCCCTACCTCCCTACTGAAAACCTGCTCTCCATCCATTATTCCAACTGCCACCATCATAATTAATCAAATCCTTGTTGAGTGGTGAGGTCCCCCCCTCCCTCAAGCTGGCAGCCATCAGACCTGTCCTGAAGAAGCACAATCTGGATCCTGAGGTACTCACAAACTACCGCCCCATCTCAAACCTGCCTTTTCTAGCAAAAGTTCTGGAAAAAGTTGTTGCTCTTCAGCTTCACGAACATCTCCATACTCATGAGCTCTATGAAACCTTCCAGTCTGGTTTCAGACCAGCTCACAGCACTGAAACAGCTCTGGTCAGGGTTCTAAATTACCTGTTGATGGCGGCTGACTCTGGTTCCCCAAGCCTACTCATCTTGCTGGACTTAAGTGCAGCATTTGACACTGTTGACCATCGCATCATGTGTCGGCGACTCCAGGAGGTGGGAATTGCTGGCAAGGCTCTGGACTTTTTCCACTCGTACCTCACAGGAAGACAGGAATATGTCCGTCTTGGAAAAAGCACCTCCGACACCTGTGTCACCTCTGGTGTACCCCAAGGGTCAGTCCTTGGGCCACTGCTCTTTTTAATTTACATGTTGCCCCTGGGACAAATACTGAGGAGCCATAACATCAGCTTCCACACATATGCTGATGACACACAGATTTATTTCCAAACTGCCCCGGATAAACATCTGGCACTTTCAAATGTCTCAAGATGCCTGGAGCACATACACCACTGGATGAGCAACAATTCCCTCCAAATGAATAGCAGCAAATCATAGGCCATTCTGATTGGAACACCACATCAAACACAAAAAACTGATATCCCTCATATCAGCATCAATGGCCACTCCATTCCCCTCTCCCCACTTGTAACGAGCCTTGGTGTGAAACTGGACTCATCCCTTTCATTCCAAGCACACATAAAGACGGTCTGCCAAGCCTCATACTACCACCTGAGAAACATCTCCAAAATGCGACACTCCCTCACCAAACCGGATGCAGACAAACTGGTCCATGCCTTCATCACCACCGGCATTGATTACTGCAATTCTCTGCTTGCAGGCATTCCAGCAAAAACCACTCAGAGGCTACAATATGTACAAAACTGTGCCGCCCGGATACTCACAAAAACACGCAAATCAGAGCACATCACCCCCATCCTTCATTCACTCCACTGGCTCCCACACCGGATTAACTACAAAGTCCTCATAATGGTCTTCAACGCCATCAACCACACTGGCCCCACCTACCTACAGGAACTGCTGACCAGAAAACATTCCCATACCTCACGCACACTCAGGTCAGACAGCTCCAATCTCCTGGCTGTTCCGCAGACAAAACTGGTCACCATGGGAAACCGTGCTTTCTCCTCCCTGGGTCCACGTCTGTGGAATCAGCTTCCAGAGAACATACGGACCTCGGCATCACTCTCAGTTTTTAGGAAATGCCTCGAGACCTTTTATGCTCTTAACCTTTTATTTTCTCCTCTCCCCCAAGGTGTCCCCCAAGGTTCAGTTCTCGGCCCCCTCCTCTTCATCCTCTACCTGCTTCTCCTTTATTTTATTTTATCTTCACTATATCTGTAAAGCGTCTTTGAGCACCTGTAAAAGCGCCAACAAATTAAATCTATTATTATTATTAATCCGCCGTCATGGACTTCAATTCCACTGCTTTGCCGACGACATCCAGCTTCTCATCTCCACCAAGTCCATCTCCACTGCTACCGACTCCATCCTGACAAACTGCATCACTGAAATAAAATCCTGGCTCCAACTCAACTTCCTGAAACTCAACTGCGATAAATCTGAGATAATAATCATTGGACCAAAAAAGCTCACCACATCTATCCATAACTTCACCCTCAACATAGACGGCTTCCCAGTTCCAAACTCCCCTCACATCCGGAACCTTGGCATCATATTTGACCAAACCCTCTCCTACAACAAATACATCAAACAGATAACAAAGACAGCCTTCTTCCACCTCAAAAATATCGCCCGTCTACGTCCATCCCTTTCCCCCACTGCTGCCGAAACCCTCATCCACGCCTTCATCACCTCCCGTCTGGACTATTGCAACGGCCTCCTCTATGGTTCACCTAAAATCCTCAACAAACTACAATACATCCAGAACTCCGCCGCCCGCCTACTCACCCACACCCGAATCCGTGAACACATCACCCCCCGTCCTCATCAAGCTCCATTGGCTCCCCATCCCCCAGAGAATTCAGTACAAAATCCTCCTCACGACGTACAAAGCCCTCCATAATCTGGCCCCATCCTACCTGACTGACCTCCTCCACAGACACACTCCCACTCGCTCCCTCCGCTCTGCTACTGCCAACCTCCTGTCCCTCCCCACCCGGACCAACCTCAAGTCCTGGGGCGGCAGAGCCTTCTCCATTGCTGCACCCCCTCTGGAACTCACTACCCCAATCCATCAGAGATTCTTCCTCCCTCACAGCATTCAAAACATCACTCACAACCCACCTGTTCAACACTGCATTCAACCACTGACCCCTGCCCCCCCTAGTTTTGTTTATGTCTTTTTGTATTTTTTGTATTTTTTTGTGTGTTGTTGTTGTCTTTTTTAATTCTCTGTCAAAGCATCTTTGAGTTTCCAGAAAAGCGCCTTTAGATATCTTTTTACTTATTTTTCCTTATAGCTTTGTGAAGGACCTTGAGATAACGTTTGTCTTTAAAGTGTGCTATATAAATCAAATGTATTATTATTATTACTTATGATCAAAAACCCTTGACATGAGATGAACACATATGTATTGTATCATGCTATTTTTACCATGTGATCTTTTTATGTTTCTTATTTTCTTACAAATAAGCATATACTGTAATATAACATTACATATTAAACATATTCAATTACCTAATTCCTTGATTACATCCATGAGTTGAGCAACACTTTTTTAATATTATTATAATATATTATATAATATTATAATATTATATTATAATAATATATTATATAATAATATTGCAAATGGAACTTATTAAATCATGATAATGTTACGATACTACTTGATGATTGAAATATTATTATTGACATAAATGTTAGCTGCTCAGTGAATCTGTTTACATTTGCTATTTATTCTGATGTTTAGTAAATGTTAAGAGTTAAATTAGATTAGATGCATCCATAAACACAACATACATGTCCATTAATACCAATGTCCAATAATACGCAACAAATGGAGAAAAACAAGACAATAACAAAAATATTTAATCCGTTTTAAACAGATGCAACAAGACAAGTGTGTTTATAAAATTAGCACATTACTCATTATACTAACATTAATATATATAAAAAAAGGATTCCCTCAACTAATCTACCTGATGAGAATATCCATGTTGAGTCTTCTGTAGACTTATGGAAGACAGAATAAATAAATAAATGCGTAAACATATGAATAAATACAGGAATACAAAAATACAAGAATAAATAAATGTGAAAAAAAACTGAAATAAATAAATGTGGTAATAAATACAACAAAAAATAAATAAATAAGGAAATCAATGTGTAAATAAAAAAAATAAAAGTTGAGAATAAAACAGAACACACATTATTATATATCTTAATGTATTCCTACATTTATTTTCACTTACATTTATATCTTAATTTCTGTTGTTTTGCTTGGTAGCCTTGTATTCTGTGGATAGGATACGACAACATTTATTACAAATGTACTTTCAATGCTCTGAAAGTTACAAGTGCACGTATCTTTAACAATATCTTTGAGTTGCTATAATATTTAATTTATCTTCAGAGCCAGTTATACATGTTTATGAGCGTCAAAAATGGTGTTGCTATTAAAGGTTTTGCTATTACCTGAAACTCAATAACAGGAGTGTAAGGTATGGGATTTTTGATTGAGATATCTTTGCCTATGCATGCACCACTGTAAGAAATCACGAACAGATGCAGCTCCTCTATTTGGCACAAGAGAGCAGCATACCGCGATTTTCATACAGCTGAAGTTTGTCCTGTCCGGCTTGCTGTAGTTGCCCGGTGTTGGAGGTCGGACATACCATGTAACATCCACTGCGAAATGCTATACAAGCGCCGAAAAGAGTGTGATTAACGTGAAATTACAGAGACATGTGGCACACACTGGTCTCTGAATGACATTTACTCCCGAGCTGAACAGTCGTTCGTTAATAAGAAGCGCGTAGAAAACACGGAGGACCTCCAAAAACTGTCCGTCCGTTTTGTCCTACAAAGGAGAGTTTGACAGGACTTCAGTGCGCGGGCCTGCTGCTAGAGGAGGACGCTATCCAGAGGACTTCATGAGACAATAAACACTGTCCTTTCTGTTGAGGGAAGCAAGAGAAAACATGAGGAAGGACGTGAGGATACTGCTTGTGGGGGAACGTAAGTAGTCTTTAATCCACAAGCTGGTGGACGCTTTATTAGCTAACATGCTAGTGAGGTAGCTACAGGCTACAGCTAGCAGATGCAGCAGTGAATAGATAGATATTTAGGAAATACACATGGTGAAAACACTATGATTTTGCAATGCATCTCTGACATTTTAAAGACTGAAAGGGGGATTTAGAAAATAAGAGAATTTAAAATCTAAATTAGAATTTGTTTTAGCCCTGGTTAGATAGATAGATACTTTATTTATCCCAAGTTGGGTTATTATTTTGTCACAGCAGCATTTTGACAGCAAATCTTCAGGAATTCAGAAAAAAAATCTTACGGATAGACATTAAAAATGTAAAAGCAGTATATACACATTATTAGTCAAACATACCTATATTCAGAGGAGTATCTAAACATTATAAAATATACAGAATAAATGAGAATACTCTATTTATGCCAATCTACTGAACATATTAAACATAGTGTACTAAATACATGAAAACACACTGTGCAATACACTAAAACATGTCAAATCACCCATTTAGTGACTGCAACCTTTCCAAAGACTTTGATAAGAATGCATATCCTGAGCTTTGGTTTCTGTCTGCTGTTTCCAGTTTAGTATCTCACAGTGCATCATACCTTATCACGAGTGTTTCCATGTGCTGCCATATCTCAATAAGCTACTTCTCATGGGCAGACATTATCTCATGTTCAGGCTGTGGGAAATAACAATGATCCCAGGTGTAAATGCTTTACAAAGGCACTTAATATGATAAGTTGTATGAAGGCGGTATTTATTTCTAGCCTGCTGTGTAATTGATTTAGATTGTATAAACAAGAACATAAATATAGTGAAAGGCAAGTGAGAATAACATATGATATCAGAATAAGATAATTTCTGCAGTATTAAAGTAACACTGGAACCAGGGCTAAAATGTAATCCCTTTTCAGTCTTTAAAATGTACTAAGAATCATAGTGTTTTCACAATTTGTATTTCCTGAAGCCTAAAGTGATGTTTTAAACATATCATGATTTTTATATCCACTAGTCCAAACATCCAAATTATACTGGATGCAGAATATTGGGTTTTTGTTATTACAAGATCTTAACTTTCCCCAGGACCTCGGTGTGAGGGCAGAGTAAAACCATAAAGGCAATACACTCATCGGTGAAACTGTTTGTTCTCTTGAAAGCGTGTGTTGTCAGTATTATTTCTATTTCAGTTAAGGCTATGCCTGATGCCCTACTTTGTCACATAAGGCGAGTTGGTACTGACTGTTCCTGAAAAAGGGAACGCTAAATAATATGTGCCTTCGCCAGAGTTGTAAAGTACATCAGAGTCTGTGGGGTCACAGGTCTGTGAAGACGCTGAGGGACCAGAGGGGCTGCAACCTGGGGCTTAAAGGGGTCCGTTTCCTAATTGATCAATCTGACGACCAATTGATTGTTTGCTCTCTATTGTGTTATCAAATCATAAAAATACCCTTTCAGTTCCCAGGCACCAAGACGTTTTCAAACTGATGTTTATTATCTAACCAGCAGTCCAAAAATATAACTCCAAAACATTACATTTCCAATAATAATATAGAAAACCGAAAAAACCATGCATCAAGATAATTAGAGTGATAGACCAATTGGATAATCAATGAATAGTTTAAATCCAATCATTCAATACAATACATGGCAACTTATGAATGTTATTATGTCTGTTAGAATATGTATGTTTTAATATATCTATATAGTGATTACATTGTAAAAGAGTTGGATGATTTGTTGTTGTTTTGATTGCTCTTTTTTTCTTTTTACTAGCATTTGTTCTGGTGTAGAAAGAAGCTTATTCTCGGTCATTTAAAAGAGAATGTTGTGAAGTGATGATGAAAATTAAGAGTAAATGTGGAGAATTCACTTAAAAAATCCAATTCAAATGAGTTACTTAGAATACACGTGCAACTCTTAGTCTAATCTTTCTACCATAGGCTTACTCTCAGACTGTATTTCTCCACCATGTGTTGTTTCCTTGCTCTGAGCTGGAATTCAGTGAATGCTCTTTGGGAACCGTTGCGCTCGGCTTCAGCTCTGACCCTGCTTCAGCTGCTCTGGGCTGCGCTCTGTTACACATTACCCAGAGCACTCAATACAAATGGAGGAGAGGTCACATGTTAATGACCCATTGTCAGTCAAAGACGTATGTAATTCCAGATTGTAACGACACATTTCTTTGTCCTTCGTCTGTACAGCCAAGGTGGGGAAGACATCGCTGATCATGTCTCTGGTCAGTGAGGAGTTTCCTGATGAGGTATGTAACAACAGGAAATCAGGGGATGGATACCGTTGAAATCATTTATGCTGCATCCTGATCAAATTAATATGGGCTGGGCGGTTACTACTGTACATTTGTCTGAATGTTATTTGGTGATGTCAGAACCATGAGGGTAAAAAGGAGAATATATATATTTTTAGATGTGTGTTTGTTGTCAGAAGAATTAATCGTCTTTTTCTATCTCCCAGGTTCCTCTTCGAGCTGAGGAGATCACCATCCCAGCTGATGTCACCCCAGAAAGGGTGCCCACACACATTGTGGACTATTCAGGTACATCTCCCACCTACCACACACATGGGCTGCATGTCTGATATTTTTAATAATCCCTACCGAATATAATCTGAGTAATAGATTAATTTGGTTACAGCACAGCTTGATTACATATTATTTACTGTACTGATGTGTCCTTTTTGACACCGTATAGAGGCAGAACAGACAGAAGAGCAGCTGTTCCAAGAAATATCAAAGGTATGTTTGACCTAATTCTCACTTTCATCTGGTTTAGTAATGCCTGAACACATTATTGATATTTGTCTTTACAGGCCAATGTTATCTGCATAGTTTACGCAGTCAACAACAAGAAGTCCATTGAAAAGGTGAGCATGGCGTCTTTCTGTACTCTGTAGAGTTAATCAAATACATAACTGAAGTATTTCTGGAATTTTAAACAAGACAAGCTTTTTCTAATCATCTTAGTCTGAGAAAATAAATATGTGTTTGTGCCGCTGCAGTCTTTGATGTTGTGCTTTACTCCTCTAGGTGACAAGCCACTGGATCCCTCTCATAAATGACAGAACAGACAAGGATAGCAGGTGTGTGTTCAGCCATTTTAATAGATGTGTGTTTGTCTTCCTTGTGGTTCACTTCATTGCAGACTTGAAATCAGCTAAGGATTTTGAGATTATTGTCCAAAAGAGGGCTTATCATTGTTGAGCTAATACTGATTTAACTGCATGCCACACTTTAAAATATAGAATCATTAGTTCTGTTTTGCCAATGCTAATTATTGTGAATACCGATGGACTGTCCACTCCAAGTAGGGAATGAGTCCTTACCCCAAGTGAAGGAGTTCAAGTATCTCGGGGTCTTGTTCTCGAGTGAGGGAACAATGGAGCGTGAGATGGGCCGGAGAATCGGAGCAGCGGGAGCGGTACTGCAGTCGCTTTACCGCATCGTTGTGACGAAAAGGGAGCTGAGCCAGAAGGCAAAGCTCTCTGTCTACCGGGCCATTTTCGTTCCTACCCTCACCTATGGTCATGAAGGATGGGTCATGACCAAAAGAACGAGATCGCGGATACAAGCGGCCGAGATGGGTTTTCTCCGCAGGGTGGCTGGTGTCTCCCTTAGGGATAAGGTGAGAAGTTCGGTCATCAGGGAGGGACTCGGAGTTGAGCCGCTCCTCCTTCGCGTCGAAAGGAGCCAGTTGAGGTGGTTCGGGCACCTAGTTAGAATGCCACCTGGGCGCCTCCCTAGGGAGGTGTTCCAGGCACGTCCAGCTGGGAAGAGACCAAGGGGTAGACCTAGGACCAGGTGGAGGGATTATATCTCTTCACTGGCCTGGGAGCGCCTTGGGATCCCCCAGTCAGAGCTGGTTGATGTCGCCAGGGAAAAGAAAGTTTGGCGCTCTCTGTTGGAACTGCTACCCCCGCGACCCGACCACGGATAAGCGGGAGAAGATGGATGGATGGATGGATGGAATACGGATTAAATTGATGTGTTGTTTAAAGATGACGTTTTTTTATAGATGATTTCAAGGTCATTAAAGCTAATATGCGGTATTATGACAACATATTCTAGTAGGGCTACTAATGACTATTTTTAATATGAATTATTAACCATTTTCTCAATTGATTAATGATTTTTCTATACAATTCCATAAGTACATTTTGTCAAACCAACAGTTCAAAATCCCCCAAAAACCATTCTCATTCATATAAAAAAGGGGAAATCAGCAAATCCTCACTCTGGAGAGGCGAACCAGACAATTCTTGGCATTAAAAAAGCTGCCTATAATTTATTCTGTCAATTAACTAATTGTTTAATCGACCTATGATGCTGGCTCTATAATGTAGTTATAAATACTTTCTCTGCAGAGTACCACTGATCCTAGTGGGGAACAAGTCGGACCTGGTGGAACACAGCAGCATGGAGACCATCCTGCCAATCATGAATCAATACCAGGACATCGAGACATGTGTAGAGGTAAGACATCAATACACACAGATAAAAACCTTTTGGGTCCATTGAGGCAGAGCTGTGTGGATGTCCAACTCAGTTAAATATCAAAGAAAGTACTTTGATGAAGCACTTAAGAGCAATTAATTGGCATCCAATGAAATCCAATATAAGCAGTGACTGTCAGAGAGGCCCCCCCCCCCCCCCCCCCCCCCCCCCCCGCTGCGCTCCAGCTCCTGACTCCACTTACACTCTGAGTGGTTGATAGATTTATTTCTCTGAACCCCGCTCTCTAAGGCCATCGTCTGCTGACTGATGGACTGTGAGTGTGTTGAGAGGAAGCTGGCCTCTGTCTGCGTTTCCGGCGCACAAGGCAGCTCAGTCATGCCCGTCTCAGCTGGATCAGTAACAAGGTTACAGAGGGAGATGAGGAGGACGTGAGAGAAGGCACATGCACAGTGATTCAGTTAGGGGACACTCACCTGGGGAAACACACGCACTAATGTTTTACTGCTGGCTCAGTGTTCAGCCAGGCCCCCGATTGGCTGTAACTCCTGCTTCTCCAAGTTATTTATATCTCTGTGTTTCTTTGTTAGTGTCAACAATTTTATAATGTTTTATTTAGGTAAAATTGCAGTACTGCAGTTACAAGTGGAAAGTTCTGCCTTCAAAATGTTTCTTAAGTTGAACTACACAACCAATGGAAAAAAATGTCTGTACTCATTCTTAAGCCCACATTTGTTTGTCAGTGTTATGATTTATTCCCCTATTAGATTATTTTCTTGAATGCGTGTAAGCTGCACTTATTTCTGGTATATACCATTTTACAGATTTCTAAAAATATTTTTGTATTTGATATGCTCTCAATATTTATATGTTGACTACACCTGCCAAATAAATGAAGTAATGTTGGTATATCAAATATTCTTATCTGAAATATAGTGGAGTAGAAATATAAAGTAGCAAAGAAAAATAACTCAACTTGAGTAAATGTACTTAGTTACTTTCCAACATACATTTAGACTAACTCTTATTTCTGACCTTGAAGCCTCTATTGACATCGTTGAAGTGTGTATTCAACTAACTCAATTTACTTTGATTGTTGTGGAGGTTATACTAATAGACTTTTTTTTCTAAGTGAACTTTTAAATTCTATGGAGATGCATTGCCTGATAATTGTCCTCCATTCCCACACATCTTTCCCCTCAGTGCTCAGCTAAAAACCTGAAGAACATTTCCGAGCTGTTCTACTACGCCCAGAAGGCTGTGCTCCACCCGACGGGACCCCTGTACTGCCCGGAGGAGAAGGAGGTGAGAGCCTTAAAGACTTTCTGAGTTTAACATCCAGCTAAGGACAAACATGCAAATAGGTTGCGACTGTCTTTCAGTCCAATAGTAGCTCAACATGGTCCACACTCAATGTGCTCAACATTAATCCCATAATACACCAACGTTTCTGAGTAAATCTATAAACCCCCAGCAAGCCAAAAGAATGAAGGAAAATGTAAATGTGTGACTTGACTCACGGAAAACCTGGCCTTACATTACATAACAATAATGCCAGTCGATGAGCTGTATTTAGATTTTAAACTAAGGGTCAAAAGAGCCTTTAATATGTGATGTGATGACAGCAGTGCTTCTCAAAGTGTGGTCTGCGGACCACTGGTGGTCCGTGAGTATATTGGTAACATTTCACATTTTAAATAAGTTAATTTAAGTTTTCCGCACTCTCACGGGAATATCTCCGCAATGGAGCGAGGTTAAGTTTCATTTTCGATTGCATGATATAGCCCAGGGCAACACCTTCGTCACACATGTTGCCACCTGTTTGTACCATTTTCAGGCGATTTGTAATCTGTTCTAGAAAAACGATGTGTTTTTGGATATTTGTGGAGTTAGGTGGTCCGCGAGTGTTTTTTTATTGGTTAAGTGGTCCTTGGTATAAAAAGGTTTGAGAAACACTGGTCTACACTACAGTATGGCAGATACCCTGAGATGACAATAAGTTGTATTGGTGCATTCCCTAGCGTTAGCTGCCACTATGCTTACTGTTGAATTAAGCATTTCTGTATGAGTACATATAGGACATGTAGGACTACCTATGTTGCAAATGTATTATCTTTTCAATTTACACACGGCATCTATTGCACGTCTGTCCGTCCTGGGAGAGGGATCCCTCCTCTGTTGCTCTCCCTGAGGTTTCTCCCATTTTTCCCTTTAAACTGTGGGTTTTCCCCGGAAGTTTTTCCTTGTACGATGTGAGGGTCTAAGGACAGAGGGTGTCGTATTGTCATACTGATATTTTGTACAAACTGTAAAGTCCACTGAGACAAATGTAACATTTGTGATATTGGGCTATATAAATAAACATTGATTGATTGATTGATAACCACCTTCATAATTATATTTCTTCTTTATTACAGTTGAAGCCTTCCTGCATCAAGTCTTTAACTAGAATCTTTAAAGTGTCTGACCTGGACAACGACGGCATCCTCAATGACAATGAGCTCAACTTTTTCCAGGTAAGGGTCTCCACTTTAATAGTGTCACTGTCGACCAATTGTTCTTGAATAGATACAAAATGTGGCAGATTTAAACATGAACCAAACATAAAAACACCATCAGCTTTCTCACGGCACACTATGCATGGCTTGTTTGCTCAGAGAACGTGTTTCAATACACCGCTGGCGCCTCAGGCTTTAGAGGATGTGAAGAATGTGGTCAGGAGAAACATGACGGATGGAGTCAACGACGACGGACTTACACTCAAAGGTCAGAAACACCTCTATGGTTTTCATTTCCTCCAATGTATTACCTATTCTCCTTCATATCCCCTCAATATCCCTTCTCCTTTTCTGATTATATTTGTAGACGTTTGCTTATGACATTTTCTTATTACTTTTTGTGTCTTCTATATCAGGCTTCCTCTTCCTCCACACCCTCTTCATCCAGCGAGGCCGACACGAGACCACCTGGACGGTGCTGAGGAGATTTGGATATGACGACGACCTGGAGCTCACACAGGAATACCTGTTCCCCATGTAAGGGCACATTTAAAGACACAAGGGTTATTGGTAGCTTGGTAGTCTTTGTTTTACAACATCAAAGAAAATAATCAAACATTTTGAACCAAAGAATATTGGTAATTGTTGCTTGAAATTCAACTTGCAAACAGTTAATACAAATCAAAATAGTTACAGAATAATAATAATGGTTGCAGCTCTTAAGATGCTGCAAAAAAAAATATTTTTACAAAGATGTTTCATGCCTAATGGATCCAGATTCATCAGTCACATTGTTGCAGCCCTGTTTCATTTATAACTTTACAAAATGATACATAAAAGTGTTTTTATGTCATCTTATGGATGTTGTGTTCCTCTGTTGAAATGAGTGCCTGGTATTTGAAGTGATTTAGTGAGATTCTTTCTTCCTTTGTCCCTTTTTGAAAGTGGTTGTTTCTGTGTGTCCCTGTATCGCAGGGTAAAGATCCCCCCGGACTGCACCACAGAGCTCAATCACAACGCTTACCTCTTCCTCCAGAGTGTCTTCGACAAACATGACAAAGTGAGTGATTAGCAATGAATCTACATACCTATTACTGTTATTTAAAATGCATGATACCGCTTATTCTGTTTTCTTATGTTCAAATGTGTGACTGTAACTATGTGCGCTTGGTACGACCCAGGACAGAGATTGTGCGCTGTCACCAGAGGAGGTGAAGGACTTGTTCAAAGTGTTTCCCTACATGCCCTGGGGCCCGGATGTCAACCACACGGTGGGCACTAACGAACAGGGATGGATCACATACCAGGGATACCTCTCCCAGTGGACGTGAGTGTGGAACATAGCTATTAATACACACACACACACACACACACACACACACACACACACACACACACACACACACACACACACACACACACACACACCAAGGTGTCCGCGGGGTCTTAAAGTATTAAAAGTTGATAAATCAATTTAGAGAAAATGAGGGCTATTAAAAAGTATTAAACGGTATTTTCCAAGGTATTACATTTTGTAGCTTGTTTTCAATAAGTATATAAATTGTCCAAAGAGGTTGTATTCTACAGTCTGCCTGAATGTAATCATTGCGTAGGCGTGTAGTGTGATTCTGTGTAGTTTATTTATGGCATCCCGTTGGGTTTGACGTCATCTGAACAGGACATCGCACGCTCACTGCTTGGTAGCGCGCGAAGGTCCGTTTACGCCGGTTGTTAAACAACATCGTTTTGGGGAAATGCAAGTTTGCGTCCAAATGGTTGGAAGATAAGGAGGAAGGACAATCAATACTGTATATAGTCAATCTGAGGCGACACACTTTAAGGTAACCGGTTAAAACTCCAAGTGGCGATGAGGTCTTCAAATTTATGGAAAGGGTCTTAAAAGGTATTACATTTGACTTCAAGATTCCTCCATATACACACACACACACACACATACACACACACACACCTATTTTAGTGTTATAAACCCCGATAGCATTCACAGTATGGCATGATATACTTAATTATGTAGAATACACAGATAAAAGTACAACACAATGCATGTATAAATCTCTCATGCCTTCAGACCCATCATGCTCTTTGTGTTTCTGTGTTAGGTTGACAACATATCTCGATGTACAGCGTAGTTTGGAGTACTTAGGGTACCTTGGCTACTCTATCATCTATGAACAGGAGTCTCAAGCTGCTGCCATCACAGGTAACAGATATGTTTGTGTTTTATGCCTACAAAATAAATGCATTACTTTTAATGTAGGTTGCCACTGATCATGCATGTTCTCACTTGTGAAAAATGTGCATTTCCTGTTCTTTCAGTAACACGTAACAAGCGCATCGATCTGCAGAAGAAACAGACTCAGCGCAGCGTCTTCCGGTGCAACGTCTTGGGCGCCCGAGGCAGCGGGAAGAGCGGCTTCCTGCAAGCGTTCCTGGGCAAGAACCTGCAGGTGAGGGGAAATCACAGCTTCACATGATTTCAAACTCTCTTTGTTAAAGGGATATTTTTCCCAGTGTGTCTTGCTGGAAGCACACTGAGTATAATCATGTCCGTCCTCGGTAAAACAAACAATGTGCAATATATGAAACTTGATCAAGCTTGTAGAAGATGAAAGAAGACGAATTGTTAATCAGAAACAGGTTTATTACCAGGTAGGTTTACACGTACGAGGAATTCGACTTGGTGTCGTGGTGGATACATAAAAGTAAAACAAGAATTAAAAACACAGGTAAAGAACCAGAAAAATATTTAAAAATATGTGACCGGCTCCATCGAAATCAGTCGCATTGACCCGAAGACACATTTTGAGTTGTATACACTGTTGGAAAGAGGAGATTCCTAGCTTTCTAATGATATCAGGATTGTTGTTGTTCTCCGAATATTAAGCAAAATATGTCACATTATATAATGACTGTCACCGAGTCCTCATTTTGAGAAAAAGGCCGTCAAAGTTTCCTCTTCTCTGGAATCCATCGATCTGATTGATTATTAGTGGAGCAAATAATCAAAGTAGTAAGGAGGGAAAATATGTTAGTTTGGATTACTGGTCTGGGGGAAGCTCGCGAGTGTGTGTGCGTGTGTGTTTGTGTAATTTTGCCTTTGTGTGTATTGTGTTTGTTTCCCGGGGAAAACACTCACGAGAAACACCGGCTGTTGTTATGCCTGCAGTGACGTCAAGTTACTCCGTTCTCCGCTTGTAATTATGCCGAAGCTTCAAAGTTGTATTTATCATCTGAATTTGCCAAAACAAGTTTAATATTCTGAAAGCCAAGACTTTGTTTATTTGAAATCAGATGAAAACAAACTGTAACGGACCCTGCCGTGTTATCTATGATCACTATACGCTTACATTCATAATTTCAGCCGGAGGGAGGGGGGCGGCGCTAAGGAAGAGCCGAGTGTGAGTGAGAAGTGCCTGTCTTCTTCCCTTTACAAGCTTCAAAAATGTATTTATCGTGTGATTTTGGAAATAAAAGTTTCATATTCTGAAAGCCAAGACTTTGTTTGTTTAAAATCAAACAAAACACACAAACCCCAAAAAACTATTTTTTTACGCAAATCCACGTTTATTTTGACTGATTTCGATAGAGCAGGTCACATATAATCAAATATAACAGTATTTATATTGCAATGGAATAAGAAGGAATAAAAATGGTCAGTAATACAAAATATTGTTGTACATTGTGTGCATTAATGTAATGCATAGAGTCTGCGTTGTGGCTGAGGTAAAGTGAAATATGAGCCAATGTTGCAGTATTATTTACTCATATTACATAATTCATAGAACATTCCAAAACGGGTAGAATTGATTTATTATAAAAAAAATGAAGAGAATGCTAAAATAGTATTATGGTACATTTTAAGTTTTCAAATCACAGAGTTGGAGCAAACGGGCCAGATCGCAGGGAACCCTCTTATAAACAGTGTTGATGGGTTCCTGCTATTAATGTGTTTGTTGCCCACCACAGACACAGAGGCAGATTAGAGAAGACCACAAATCCTTCTACGCCATCAGCACGACCTACGTTTATGGTCAGGAAAAATACCTGCTGGTAAGAACTACCGACTCATCATCTGCTGTTTGGATTACTGTGATATCATCTGTATCGCACCTGACTGTGCGTTAGTGTTAGCACGTTAATACCTCTACCTGCACACTCAGTCTCTCTCTGTCTGCTCTACTAGCTCCATGAGGTGATGCCAGACTTTGACTTCCTGTCAGAGGCGGACCTTGCTTGTGATGTAGTCTGCCTGGTGTATGACGTCAACAACCCAGGCTCTTTTGAATACTGCGCCAAAGTGTACAAGGTATGTTCTAGAAGATGAAATGATGCACTGAGGCTCGTAAGGCCGGCTGCACACGGTCCAGCGAGTAACATTGAACTATTCTGTTTGGCAGCAATACTTCATAGATAGCAAGACGCCCTGCGTGATGCTCGCCGCCAAGTCTGACCTGCACGAAGTACGGCAGCACTACAGCCTCTCACCGCACGAGTTCTGCCGCAAGCACAAGCTCCACCCCCCCCAGCCGTTCACATGCAGCACCATCGAGGCCCCCAGCAAAGACATCTACACCAGACTCACCACCATGGCCATGTATCCGTGAGTATTAAACCCTTTGTGATCTCACTTAGTAACTATTCAAGCCTTATCCACCATGGCTATTACTTTTCCTCTGTGTGCCTGTCCACTTTGACCTCTCCTGCTTGTTTGGATCAGAAAGTGCCTGAGATATTCAAAGGTTACATCATGGGAATATTATTGAAGGTTGACATGTATTTGATGTGTTAAGTGTAAAGTTGCTAAACACAAATTAGATGCATATTCTGGGCCTCTCATGCTGCCTTGTGAGATAGCTGCATGTGTGTGTGAAGGCCTGTAATGGCGCATTTCCACTGCAGCGGGTAGCCCCGTTTAAGCGTCCTTAACCGTCCTCAAGCGGCCAGGCCAGTTTTTGGTGGCCTTTCCATATAGCCTAGTACCGGCTAGCGGGTACTTTTTCCCTCTTTTTCCGGCCCCATAAAATCGTGGTTCCCTCAGGCCAGGGCTGAACTAGTGACGTCAACACTCTCGACTGCTGATTGGTCAGAGAGAATCGTCACAAGATCGCGCGCGAGTTCATCCCTAGCGTCGCATATATATTTAGAAGCAAGCTTGCAGCATTTTTATAAACAGCATTTTGTAAACGGAGGAGCTACAAAAATGGCTACTTCTAAGAAAAGCACACCGTGGTCGACCGAGGAGGTGACGATGTTCCTACATCTCATTGGGGATGATCAAATCCAGCGGGAGCTCGACGGAACAACTCGAAATGTGAACAAAAACAAAGCCGATCGCCCCGCCTACACTGCGTTGCTACCTCAGGTCCTAAACTGTAATGGAAATGCGCCACGGCCTCGGACGGCCAGCGAGGCAGCCCGAGGCCAGAGCGAGGACGCTTAGGGACGCTTAAACGGGGCTACCCCGTTGCAGTGGAAATGCGCCATAAGTCCCTGCCTGAAACTCTTTGAGGTCAATCCTTTGACTTTACAGAACCAGTATCTAAACTTTAAAGCTTCCTGATCAGAAGAGATTTCAGAGGAGATAATTGGAACATAATGAGACCTGGCTACTTAATCTCATTTGATCAAGCCATTAATCCTATTGTCTACACTTGAATGAAAGCACGAGAACCCCTGTTCTAGGCCATGAGTTTGAGTACTAATGTGATCTAATGATGGAGGGTAAATTCTGGGTCAGACAGTGAACAGATTGTTCAGAAACTACTTAAAATGTCAACCCAGCCCAGGCTAAGGTGCTTACTAAATAGTATATATTACATTTCATTGTATTATATATATATATATATATATATATATATATATATATATATATATATATAAAAAAAGCATTTATAATTACCACTTCCAACTAGAATCATAATATTCATCCTACCAACTGTTTATGAAGTGATGGGACCATGTTCCCTTCCTTTCTTTGTGGATTTCCTCTCCTTGTGTCTCTTGAGTTTATTCTCCTTTAAATTTAGACATGGCAAGTTCATTATAAATGTTTTCCTGTCAATACGTCTGTCTACTGTCTATGAGTTGAGCAATAGAAGTTAAATGGCAGCAGTGCAGGCTGCAGCCCAGAAGTAAGTATTCTCTTAAATCTGGTTCTTTAATTTAGTTAAGTGGTTAAATACTGGTGGTCATCTACCTTGGCCTCCCCCTCCTCTGTGTATGTTGTCTGGTACGTGTTGTCTTTCTGTGGTGGTGAATACACGCATCTTTGTGTGTCTCTCCACAGCCACGCCCGTCTGCGCTGCATGTGTGCCTGCAACAGGTGCTCCTATTGCCTGTGTCAGAACCTCCTCAAGTTGGAGCTGCTGCGCAGTATAAAGGCCCAGCTCTGCAGGGTCGTGTTCAACAGGTTCATACATGGGATAAGCTTTTGTGTTCTAGCATAGCCTCATTCCTCCTCTCTGTGTGCCCCACCCTCGAGTCTGACCCCCCGGGTCCATCACAGGGAGGCTCCTTTTCCACCCAAGCTCTCTAACAATGGTGATGGGGACAGATCCTCTGCGGTCAGGTTTACACTGCATATCCACTTCAGGGACAAGGGAATATTAAATGGGATTGAATGTGATGTTACTGATACCAAAAACATGGGGTTTAGATAAATGTGTACTCTTCCTTTCCTTTTGTGATTAATTTGATACTGTGGTGATTTCTTTTTGGGAAATACTCCTGTTGCTTCACGCTGGGTTGCCAAAAAGCTGCCGCTCGTTTGCATTAGTCTGCTCTTTTTACAAACTGATGAGCAAAATAAATGTGAACAAAGTTCAATCAATTTATTGGTTCATTAATTTAATATCAATTAAAAAAGTTTTAAATCAAGTAGGACTCCTCTTCCTACAGGAGTTGTATATTAGATGCTTTTCAGACAGATCAAAAGTGAGCTACGTTTTTTTTATTTACTTCTTGGTCATATTCTTAAAACCCGATGGTCATGTTTTGGTCTCTGCTGCAGCTCCAGCCAGCGCCCCCCCCCTCTGTACAGTTTGACAAAGCGAAGTGTGACCGCGCTGTGCCGGCTAACACACGGGCTGCTAGCCAGGGAGGTGACGTGTGTTGGAATCCGTGTGGAAAACGCATGAAGTGCAGTGCATGCTCAACCCCTCTTACTAACCCACATACATGACACTAATATATTCTACAGATAAAATCATTTTTATTTCATTAAAATGAACCATTTCAATGTTTTCATATCTCTGGATAGTTCTGAGTATATATAATGCTACACACGACTGCAATACATCATATATCTATGTTGTTCAGCCAATCATTCCTACAAAATATCAACTCTTAACATTGAAGGGTTAAAAACTGATATATGAAGCCACATTTTTTTAATCGTTATACTACTTCCTCCTGCAGTGGATATGCAAACTGAATCTTGACTAACAAGCATATTTTTGCACAAAGGATGAAGAAAAACCAGCCATTCACTTTGTGCTTCATTCAAACTAAAAACCTCATTGATGTCTGCATGATTATGTGATTCATTTTCAATCACATCCAGTTCTTCCTGTGTATTCCTTTCTCTTTGGCACCAACCCTTATCATTAACCATTAAGTGCTTGATTCGTTACCTAGTATGTATTCAGTCTCCCTTTGTCTATCATCATTAACACTGAAGTCTACTCCAACAGGAGACATTTTATTTTAAAAAGCACAATATCAATCGGACATATACATAAAATATAAACAGCTGTACTTGTTTCCTGTGCGTTTAGACTTCAAAATGTAACTGACTCATTGTTTAAAATCTAAATGTGTTCCTTTGATGTTTAAATAGATTTTGTTGTACCAATCACCACCGTGTCATTTCATCCTGTTCTTTCCTGTCTTGTCTTCTGTCTGTGTGTTTGTCCTTCCCCTCTATAGGAGTTCACAAACATGTTTTTGGCTGCCCTTCTTCCTCTTCCTCTTGCATGTGTTCACCCTCTGCTAATCAGTCTGCTGCGAAGTTGCATGGCTCACCTGTTCTCTACCTCTGTGGATAACCAAAGGCATGCCTCGGTCCTTGGCAATATGTCTCACATCTATCAATCTCTACATCGGAGAGCTTGGTGTTTACTATAAGAAAGGGGGGGGGGGGGGGGGGGCATGTAAAGTTTGTATGTTTGTTTACAGCAGAGGTGTGTTGTGTGTTTGCAGATTTTTGGGGGAATCGGTAGTTTTTTCAGCCAATTATGGCATAGAATGCAGAGCTTGTGTTTGGGCGTTCATGGAGCTGTATACTGTAACGTTGCACCCAGCACTAACCTTTGTCTTTTTAATCTCTGGGGGTTGTTAAACTATTAATAGCACTTAATGGGCCTGGCAGTGCACAGTGCCACTCGCACATTGAATGCCTGAGGTGTTAAAGGTGTTAGATAAATTATGCTTTGATTTCACATTTCCTGACATTGTAATCTCGATTTAAAAAAAATTATTTCTAAGGTCTCCAAAATAACAAGCAATGTCAGGCAGCTTAAGAAAGGTCATTTTGTATTTAAAATACAACTTAATTTTGCTTTGCTAAAGTGGCATAGTGTTTGTAAAATATTTAGGGGCGAGCAAAAGAGAGTCAGAAAAAACACCAATCCACATGTTCTTTATTTAAAAGAGATTACATTAGTTTTTTAAATGTTATTTATCTACCCAATGACAATTAGATGAATGGCCGCCATGTGGTGTGTACAGTTTGTAAATGTGATGTGTTGGCAGCTTTGTGCCTTTGTGTGGTGTGCGCCGCGGTGACATGACGCGGTATATCATAGTTGAGCTTGTGGGCGGGGATCGCAGTTCCTTTATTTTCAGGCTGGGTGATATAGATCGGATATCACTTTCGATGTGTTAATTTGATTTGTTCTCTATTTTAACAATACAGAAAATGTAAATAATAAATGTAAGATAATTTCAATGTGAAAAGGCTTGACCAACTTTTCGGCTTACTTACATGTGGGATAATTCAATCCCACATGACATCAAGTATCACATGGCAGTATTGTGTCTATTCAAGCTCATTTAATCATTAAATGTTAGAAAATAATCGACAATGGTTTTAGTATTTTAGACGCAATGGGTTCTCTGGTTCCAGTTTACATGTGAATTTAAGCTTTATTTTTAACACCATTTATTACATTTTATAGACTAAATGAATAATGAATTGATCACAAAAGTAAACAGCGTTATTATTGCTAATGAAATATTTGCTAGTTTCAGCCCAAGTCAATATTATTTTTGAATTGTCGCCACACTCTACCCACTGCGTTTGAGCGTGTGTGTGTGTGTGTGTGTGTGTGTGTGTGTGTGCACGACCCCGGCCATGGTGTGACTTTGTGTGTGTGGGTGGCTGCTGGGCTGGGTGGAGGCTGCGGGGGCTTCCTGCTCTCAGATGAGGATTTAATTCAGATGCAGCGGGTTTCAGCCCTCTCCAACATGGAGGGTCCATCTTTATGGAGGCCTCTGCTGAACAACTAAATCCCCCAGAAAGGTAAAAGCAGAACACACTTCCACAGAGTTAGATTTGTATACCGGACTGGGGAGTATGTCCTGGATAGGTTTAACTTTTCACTATTTATCAACAATCATTTTAACATTATTGCCAATGTTCATGTCCTGTAACAAAAAGAGACATACTGGAGTCTTTATATGAATAGTTTTACATCTTGGGAATTATCTTATTGACTTCAGAGGAGCAGTTCCAGTGACGATCAATATCACTTTTATTTCTGTGTATTGAATATGAAGCTACTTCAGCGGCTGGTTAGTCTACTCATTTCCTGGAGGCTATGCTAACAGGCATATGTTAACAGGCTAAGCTGTTAGCTTAGCATAAATAATATTTTACTGGAAGATACGTACTGAAGCCCTGGGGGACAAGTGAGAAAATAAAAGTTTTGATATTCAGAGTTGTGACATTTAAACCTAATTTTTTAAAGCCTTCCTGTTTCATGAAGTGGTTCAGCCTCTTGTGGCTGACATGAGCATTACAACAACAAACACAAAGAAAAATGATCCTGAAAAATTAATCTGCCCAAACCGCTTTGTTTTACCTCCCGAAACAATTATTTTTTCATAAAATGACCGTGGCAAAAATTGTATAAATCCTGTTGTAAACAAAGAACAGAAATAAGTTTAGATCCGACTTGCGTCTCTGGGGTTTCATAGATATTAGAGGTAAACTATTTTCCAACTTTGTGCCAGAAGAATTATTTTCTGAATGTCCAACTATCCCTTTAGTTAAGGCTGGGCTAAGTTGAAGTTTGTTTCCCTTCACAACAGAGGGAGCACAGGTGACATGTTTTATGCTGGTTTATCTCCTGAGTGTGCAGTAGCTGTAGACCAGTGGTACTTTGTTGCTGTCTCCTTTGCCTCATAGTAGTGCTTGCTTTTTATCTTGCATACTCTAGTTCTCCAGTGCTTGTGTTTCTTGCCAGATCAGCTGGTGTTAAGTGATATATATTATTTTCTGGTGTTCTTCCTCAGTGTGAACCAGAGCTGCTTCTCATAGAGCAACACCTTTCCTTTGTCTTCTTCCCTAAAACTAAACCAACTGTCAAGAGAAAGCATGTGTTCCTGTTTCAAGCTGGTATCACATGGCGCTGATATTCCTCATTTACCTGATTTAAGAAAATCCCCGCTGTAGAGACGGGAAAGAGGGCACATGACTTTCTCTAGTCAGTTGGCAACTCTTCCCTCTGCTGTTTTAACAATGGCGTCGTATTGTTTTAGATCAGGGGTGTCCAAACTATAAACTTCACTGAGGGCCACATACAGAAAAATATACGAAGGGCTGGGCCACTCACTAGAAGTTTATGGCCTCATAAGGTAAGTTATAAGTCAGCAAAATCAATCAAATGAAGGTAAACTATTCTTGATACTTGAAAATGCATTAAGAAACACAACAGCCTACATCACAGCTCTCCATAGGGTTTCCTTTATTGTGTTGGCAGCTCATTCCTTAAAACAGAAGCTTCAGATTGCTTATAAAAAGAGGAAATATGAAGGGTAGATTTCAAGCTTATGTAATTAAGTTATTGGGCTTTTAATCAACTACGATTTGCGTGACATTTTTTCCAACTTTAATTGACAGAATTTATATGAAAAGTGGGCTATGTAATATATTTTTACATTTGTATTTAAGAAGTACAATATATGACAAGCACAAGTTCATTTGTGGGCCATATTTCATTATACTTTTTGAATTAGCTGAGGGCCGATTCAAAATGGACGTAGTTTGGACACCCCTGTTTTAGATGCTGCTCCCTCTAGTCCTTGTTGCTTCCCCCCCTCACATGACCTGTCCCTCTCTCTCTCACAGGCACATGGCCCAGGCCGATCTGAAGAACTCCACCTTCTGGCTGAGAGCGAGCGTGGGGGCCACGGTGTTCGCGGTGCTGGGCTTCGCCATGTACAGAGCACTGCTCAAACAGCGGTGATGGGACAGCGTGACACTTCCTCCCCCCGGCCCCTTCTGGTGACTCTGCCCCCTCCCCTCCTACCTGAAAGACTCAAAAACACTGGCTGACTAACCCACCCTCAACTTCGCCTCATCCTCTTCCCACAATGCAACACAAGCAAGAAACAAATGAGCGAAATCATAGTTACATTTTATATGCATTAAAAAAAATGAAGTGTGGTGTAGTTTTAAAGTTGTGGGAAAAGGAGCAGGCGTACTTTTGAAATCATTCAATCTGTAAATGCTGACATGTTGTCTAGTATAGTCCGACTACTAAACACTGGATGTTTTCAGCTGGTCCAGTCCTCTTTTTATTTCTCAGGTCAGTATTATTCATTAGTTAGATGGTTGGAGACCAGAGAGAGGCAGCCATATACAGCAACACCACAAAGGGACTCGAACCTGTTAATAAATATAGTGTATATGCAGCATTTTATGCATGTAGGACTTTTAGAATTGGACCCATAGACCGCACAACAAGCTCCTACAGGTGTTAGCGATGCATCGAACACTAGAGGTCATGATTGGCATGCACTTGTTTATTTTGTGTGTTTATTTATTAACCTGTTTCTTTGTTTTTCTTGTCTGTTTTGAGTGCACCGCATGAAACAGAAGGATTTACATTTTCCTTTTATTTTTGTATTTAGTTTTATCAAAGCAGTCCTTATGTATTGTTTTTTCTGATTTTATTTTTCTGGTTTTCAAATAGAGCTTCGTCCCTCATGGTATATTTTTATGAAGTTAGAAGCACCATATATCAACAGATTATGCCATTAACAACAGCCATTCAGTGCACCTCTCCCACCTTTAAACTGTTAAAAAGTGTTTATTCTCATTCTTCTCTTTTCCAGCATTTACAATAAAACAATGGTATGATCTGGCCCAGCCATGTAGGCGTGTTGTAAGGGTTGAATGACAGCAACATTTAAGAGCAATGAGGATAATAAATTGGTTTTAAATATCTGTAATAAATGACATTTACACCCACTGAAGCCATGTTGTGCTTGTGTGTTCTTCCTGAGAGAATAAGTGGTTCTTTCCAAACTAGATTTGTGAAATGAATCAGATCAGCTGTTTTTTGGAGACAGATATGACTTTTATGAAGCAGAATAGAGAAGTGAGTATGTGATGGCGCTGTGAACAATACTGCTCTCAACATGCGTGAGGAGGAAGTCACACACACCGCACACACGCAGGTAGACAGTCATTTCACTGGCTAAAGTAGTTTAAAGTCAATCTACCGAGGGTTAACATGTCAGTAGATCGGACTCAATTATTGTTAGAAGGCTTCCTGCAGAAAAGAAAAGATACTATGGTAAGTTGAAAACTATCTTGTAATTAAATATGATATGTTTATTTTAAAGGTGTAAAAAAATTGCTTGAAAATTGATTCACTTTTTTCTCTAGAAACTTAGATGGGTGACATATTGGTTCAGGCTTCAAAACACAACCCTGTTCTTCTATACACAGAAGAATGGCAGTGCTGTAAGTACACATTTACCTGCTGTAAATATCACACTGGTGAATAATATTCACACTATTACATTTCTTATACATTCTATTCATAATGCCAAAACATACTCAAGTGAAGGATAGTTACAGCACCAGTAGTTGTTCTATCTTTTCTGTAAACGATCACCCTGTTTTAAAAGTAGTTTTTGCATTGCTCTCTTCACAGTCCCATTTGAGAGGCTATTACTACATTTACACAGTAAGTCTTCTACATCTTACCACTGTAATAATATGATATTATTATAATTTAAGTAACCACTTTAATCTCTAACTTAATGTGTTTAGTCAAGTACTGAACAATTTAAGTTACTTGAATTTGAGTCGTATAATTTAAAGCTACTTTATGCTATAGAATCTAGATCCATTTGATATACTTAACAACTTTAGTCGTTAGGTACTTAATAATAATCCAAAAATGTATATTATTCCAAAAACAGTTTTAGTGCTTTGAGTAGATGTTGCTGCTAATATTTATGGTTTTTTTTTAACTTGAGAAAAATGTTACTTATAATATACCCTCACTCTTAGTCAGAATATTTGATTCATCGATTGTTGCAAGGATATGGAGATAATTTAAACAAATATAACAGTGTTTTCAAAGATTTACAGTTCTTCAACCACCGCTGTTGCTTTATTTGTATTGAATTGTCCAGAGGTATTTATTTATTTAATGTCTGTGATGATTTTGATTTAAATGTCCTTTATAATTAGCTTATTTTGCATTGTATCTTGATGCTTTAATTATTTCCCCCAAGGTGTTTTGAATTGCCTTGTTGCTGAAATATGCATATAGGTTAATTTGACTTGCCTAAGTCTCTCTCTGTCCACATCTCTGTCAGGTGCAGTCGGTGCGAGAAGTCCCGAGAGTTGCTGGTAATCGCTTCATTTTTGAGATCATCATGACCAATGGCAAGAGGAAAGTGTTGGTGAGTCACCACTGTGGTTTGAACACAATCTCATACATTTGCAGACCAGAAGTGGTAGGATGTTTCTGTGTGTGTGTGTGTGTGTGTGTGTGTGTGTGTGTGTGTGTGTGTGTGTGTGTGTGTGTGTGTGTGTGTGTGTGTGTGTGTGTGTGTGTGTGTGTGTGTGTGTGTGTGTGTGTGTGTGTGTGTGTGTGTGTGTGTGTGTGTGTGTGTGTGTGTGTGTGTGTGTGTGTGTGTGTGTGTGTGTGTGTGTGTGTGTGTGTGTGTGTGTGTGTGTGTGTGTGTGTGTGTGTGTGTGTGTGTGTGTGTGTGTGTGTGTGTGTGTGTGTGTGTGTGTGTGTGTGTAGGCAGCAGAGACAACAGCCCTCAGAAAGGAGTGGGTGAGATGCCTCTGGCAGGCCATGCATCTTTCTACCTCTGGTCTCTCAGACTCCAGAAGCACAAAGTAAGTCAGAAGTCCTTTCTACACTTGAACCAAAGTAATAAATGTTCCAACTACTGGCCTTCTCACCTCTTCTCAGCTTGGAAGTGTGTGAGCAGCGAGAAAGATTAAACACCAGCGCACCTATCAACTCAAACATTGACAGTGTGATGGAGTCGCTGCCTGCTCGGCCCTTCTCTGCCCCCCCCCCGACGGGCCACATCCACCATGACATCTGGAGCATCGCCCCCCCCATCTGCCCATCAGAGGAGCTGAACCATGAGGAGGCCACGCAACAAAACACACCTCCAGCCTGTGGCTACCAGCAACACAATGGTTAACTTTCATTTGCACCTTCCAAGATGTCCTTTATCAGTTCTAGTCTTAAAGCCAGGCTTTTCTTTGCTTCACTTGGCATGAATTCCATAATAACCTTTTAACAAGTGGTATCGAATGCACTTATTGTAAGTCGCTTTGGATAAAAGCGTCAGCTAAATGCAATGTAATGTAATGTATCCCAGGTCAGGTATTTCAATTATAGCCTTCATCCTGCAGCTTCATCCTCTGTCCTTGACCCCTCCCACCAGAGGAGTACAGGCTTAGCACAATACCCTTGAAGATTGCTAGTCATTTATTTCCATCCCCGTCATTCATCCTGAGGATGTTATGTAGCCGCAACTCTATGGGAATTACCATCATGTTTTCTCTGTAGACATGTAGGCCTGTAAAGCCTTTTGGAATGACTTACTATGATCTGATTCTCTAGCTAGCTACACTTTTGGAAAAGCATTTCAGATATGGAGAAAAAACCTTGCTCTTGTTGCAACATTTTCTCTCCTCTTATATATATTGCTTATATTGTCAGACACATTTTTAAGCCTGTCTTCCCTTTTTTGGTTGTTTTGCAGTGTAGGAAGTTGTTGCCAATGTTGTAAGTGTAAGGGAAACTTCTGTGTAGCAATGCAGTGGGAGTCACTGACTCAGGAAAGAGACACGGGAAGAGCAGGAGCTTTGATGTCAAACACTGATGGTTTATTTGGAGCTTCGGCCGGAGAATTCACATCACAAGTCCAAGAGCCAGAGGTTCTGACTTCACGGTAGAGTTGCCACGTCAATTCTGGAGCGCCTCTCTCTCATTAGCCCATTTAACTGGTTTCGCAGAGAGTAATCAACATATTTGAGAAGATAGCCTAAACAGTTGGGAACACTGAGTTACTTGCGTCTGACACTTATGGCCTGGAAGATTTCACACCTTGGAGTCCACAAACACCGAGAAGGAAGTGTCCCGGTGTACCCACAACAATAAACCATCTGTGACCTAGGGTTGCCCGGTCACAGAATGGGAACAACAACATTATGGCTGAAGCACCCTATCTCCTTAAAGGAGATAACAGACGTCAGGGTTGGTCATGCACGTCATATCTAGGAGTCTAGGACAATTATTTCCCTAACAGTAAGGAGTAGAAACTTGTCCAGCACATCAAGCTTCCTTTGGTATTTGTAGAACAGCCAATAACAATGCCCTCCCTCTGAAATGGCCTGTGATTGGCCTCAGATTCCCATAAAAGGCTAGACTTTCTATAGCCTGAAAACATTACAAACATTACAACATGCTGAAAGGTTATAATGGATTTTTTCAAATTACGTTAAAAAAAAAGGTGCCTACAGTCGCTTCCAAATGAGTTGTGCTTTCAACCATGTAATTCTAATTCCTCTTGTCTGTTTTCAGTTATCAGTTCAGTATGGCCCAGTGGAGTGAGCCACACAGAGGGAAGACAAGAAGGAGACTATGACATTTTACCGCTTAGACACAGTAGGTTCTTATACTTTATTTATTATAAAATGATATACAGTATGCTGATGTTTAAACGACAGACCCTATCATGTGTCTTCCTAGGACCGTGTGGGGACGCGATGGAAGAGGGTGTGTATGACTTTCCTATGTCTTACGGGAGGGCTGCTGAAAATCCGAGTGAGTACATTTCTTTTTCAATGTCTGTTTCTTCCCCCCAGCGGCTAGCTAAGATACACCATAATTATATATTTGTTTGTGTGTTGGTGTTTCCCCCCATCCATTTCAGACCCTGCAGAGAGCATCTATGACGTACCCAGCTCTCTGTTGAGGAGGAGGCCTGATCACACTTTAGGTAAATCAGTATGTTTTGTTCTCTCATGTATCATATATATTTTTTAATATGGCTTTTAATTTGGGTTCACTTTCAATTGTCACTAGTATCATTGTCCATGTTTTACTGTATTCTTTTTCTGTTTTGCTTTTATTTTACATTTTATTTTTTAAATTGTTTTATTTTAACATATCACTGCAGATGTTTTATCTTGTTCTGTATTCATTTTAATATTATTTTAATATTGTTGTTGTGTTTTCTGTAAAGCACTTTGGGCTGCTTTGTGCATGAAAGGTGCTATACAAATAAAGTTTATTATTATATTATTATTATTATATAAAAATAAACCAGCTTCCAAAATATACACATAAATACATGTATGTATGTAACAGAACAACAGGTGCAACAAAAATGTCCTCTCTGTTTCAAAGTTCAGTTTTTTTTGTTTGTAGTTGCAGAGGTGCAGCCGGAGGACGGAGACTACTGGAGGATATGAGGTCCAGCTGGAGGACACGATAGTCTGGAGCACTCTCTCCAAACCTGTGGACCAGACACAGAATACCAAGCTGCCTAATATCTGTAGCAATGCATTTACACACACACACACACACACACACACACACACACACACACACACACACACACACACACACACACACACACACACACACACACACACACACACACACACACACACACACACACACACACACACACACACACACACACACACACACACACACACACACACACACACACACACACACACACACACACACACTGTATCTATGCAACATGTTTGTCACCAAAGTTACACTTTTGGTTGCTAGACAAAATGCACAACCACAAGTCGGGTTCAGCTGTGGTATTTATTTCATCTCTTTCTATACAAGACAGAGTTCATCTATAACTATAAGTCACACCATGGTTCACAATAGTGAAGTTACTCATTTACATGTCACCACTTTCACAGTTTTAAAGTATACACCACCAGCTGTATTGCTGTTTTACACACTTTGGACTGGTTTGAATGGGAATGGTTCCAAAACCCCTTTATGGGTTTAATGCAATATACAAAAAAACACATGTTGGAGGTACATGAGGAAGTGAACAATACAACTTAAACATGCCAACATTTACTGCAAGCAATTGTATTGTCTTCTTGTATTCTACATTTTAATGTATGTGTTCTGATTTTCTTTTATGGGTAATATTGGAGAAGCTTTGAAATGAAGAGATTGACTGGTCATATAGTGCCAGTTTAATCTCATTAATTCTACAGCTGGTGAATACTATAACAGCTACAGTGGGTAATGTATTTAGGAAACATTTATTATCTTTGTTATAAATCTACTGCTCTGACAAAAAAAGAAGAAATATCTGCTATCTGTGGCAGGACTATAATAATTAAATGTAAGGTAATACGCTTGACAGCTGTGAGGACTAACATTAGCCATGATTGCTATTTATATTCATTAAGATATGTTTATATTCATAATGATAATTGTTTTAAATGTATACAAATCTGGCTTACTCTTGCTGGCTTCTCCAATATAACTTACACAAACTTTAAGATTTATCTCAAAAGAAAGTGAAAATGTACACTGTATCAACAACACTTATTTTCTTAGCATATGATTAAACATCTAATATCACTTGATAGACACACATACACATACAATAGCAGTACTTATCCAACAAGAACAATATTGTAGTGCAGGTATTAGGTTTGAATGTAAGCACAAATAAAGCCTTTGTAACAAGCAATGCATAAAAGTGATTTGTGCATTCTCAATGTGTTTCTTCTCCAAAGGAAACGGATACAATCAACAAAAATACAAAATGATATTTGGACAAGTAATACATATATATAATTCCACTTGAATAAGTAGAAGCTTTAGTTTGGATCAGTTGTGTTGTGATCATTGTCAGTTAGCAAAACAGAGTAGTATTAATATTTGGTTCAAAGTATTGTTACACACACTAATAATTGCAAAAGGATAAAGATTGGGAAAGTGCCACTCTATGCTTACAACTAAACTTCGCTGCACCCTGAGGTCATTGTCATTTATTTGTTACTATCATCTCCATGAATGAACCTCTTTTGCACCAAAGTTACACACTCGATAAACCATAATTAGCCCCAAAGAAAGAGGGAAGCTGGGTGTCGCTTGTCAGTGTTTTACAGTACATGGTATGGATCTCACCACTACTTTTCTAGCTGTGGAACATATTTACCTAGCAAACCGATGTTTGACATTTGATGTAGTTCTAGATTTAGAACTGAACAGGTTATTGTATAGATTGTCTCGCCAGCAACAGGCCCAACCACTTGAAGTTAAATGTAGTGATGTAATCATGCGTGGGCCTGGGATTGATCCCTGAGGAACTCCTCCAGGACGGTGATGATGCTGCAGGCTTCAGGCATGTCGCTGTGCTCCGCCCTGGCGTTCTGCAGCAACACATCCCCATTTCCGCAGCCCTGTAGGAACCGGCAGCTACGAAACAGGGCGTAGTGACTCATCTCTGCCTGTCGCACTAAACGCTTCAGGCTGTTCATGTCCTGGATGGCCTGCGATGTGCGAGTTGTGGTTAATAGAGAGGAGGAAACAAGTTGAATGAAAAGGGAAGCAATCTGGATGAAAGACTGGCAGCCATGTAAATGAGATATTAAACTAAGTATCTGCCAAGAGGAACTGAGAGCTGTTTCTCAATCTTGTTGACATAGGAGATGTTATGTTTATTTTATTGATAAGTTTGTAATACAAAATAAATAAAAATAACTTGAAGCATATAGAAGTATTTTACACTTTACTTATTATCATCCAGACTTTTTATTTTTTATATCAACAAAAGACAGTTCCATCAGTAAGAGCTTTAGTCCCAAAATGTACACATAAAATACAAAATGTGTTCACATGAGAACTTGATGCTCGGGTAATGAGTTTTAGGAAACTGAAACCAGGATCCAGAAGCAAAACACACTATTAAGGTCTGTCTTTTTGAATGTTTTCTCACCTTAAGTTTGAAGTTCTCCAGAATCTGTCTGAGCAGGAAAGGATTACAACGCTCTGCAGCGTTTAGAAATGCCTGACTCCAGTCGTCACAGAAACGATTGCTCACTGGGGGAGAAAACATAGAATATAACTCTTAGACAGTACAAAGATAAAACAATAATTATATATATAATATAAAAATAATAATTGTTTCCTCATGAGGTTTGTGTCATGACTTACCAGCGTTAGAGAGAGTGGGGGGGCTGGTGGAGCAGTCGATGATCAGGTCAGATTGTGTGTCCTCTGAGATAGCCTTACACAGAGAAGCTGTTGTGGTGTCTTGTTGAGACAGACCCTGCAAACTGGCTGCTTTGATGAACCTGGTACAGAATACAGCAGATTTTTAACAGACATGGATATAGACGGCTATTAATCTGTACTACATGGAAATCAACAAAAGGCCTGCTGATTTTTCGCATACATTAATCACTTATATATGTGATACAAGAACTGTAGCCTAACTCACTTGGACACATCAGTCTTTGTCCTCTCATCTGAATTATTGACCTCCACAAGTGTGTGACTCAGAGCCTGTAAACAGAACAATAATGAGTGAGAAGAATTGTTGTAAAGGAAATGTACGTCTTTAAACAATCAATCATATTTGATTCATATAGCACCGGGTAAATACCTTTATATTTACACAGTCTATAGTAAATGTGTATTTCAAGGAACATCTGCCCACACTACACACTCTTACTTGTTCCTCTATGTATCCAGATAATTGTGGTGCTTTTTACTGAGGCTTAGACCAGTACTCATCAGACCTCATCGGGATTGTAGACATTCTATTGTTTCATTAAAAGAGAGAAACTGCTCACTCTATTGGACGTTCTCTAGAGGTAAACATGACTCACAGCATGCAGCAGGAAGCTGATGTTGTTCTGAACGAGCTGCACCACCCGATGGATGTGCATCACAGACTCCTCGTACCACCGGCTCAGATAGGGGCGCACCTCCGACTCAAGGTTCAGCAGCTGACACAGACATAAACACATAGCGATAAGTCAGCAGTTCATTAATAATGCACCGGCAAATATATGACTTCCTTACGCTATTATCATATTCTCATACCTCTGGGGTTTGCAGGCTGCTCTGCAGGCCTTGGACGTATTTATCAAGCTCTAATCTAAATGTGTATTGGGTTAAGGAAGAGGAACTATTGGTAGTTTCTCCATAAAAAGTTACAACAATGTGGAAGAAATACAACAATGCAGGAAAGCACAAAGATTATTCAAGCTGGAGGATGCATATGATTAAGGTTGATTTCATGATGACTGTGTGCAAAGGATATAAATTCAGCCATTTTTCAGAGCCGCCCATAAAGCAGATGACATATCCGTTTCCATCCGCATCGGGCTGTTCCGGAGACCTCTCCTGCTCCACGAGGCAGCAGTAGCAGCCCACCGCCTGCTCTGGGATACTGGGGGAGGGTAAATAATCAACATATTCTGTCCACCTTTGAACCTTCATTTCCAAGTGAATGTATTTTATTTATGTGATGGTATCTGTTAGAGCCAGTATTTTCTTTTTATAAGAAAGGCCACCTAATTGTGACGTCTGTAGTCAACACACTATAAAACACTACAATTCCCACAGCGCCTGCGCTAAAGTCACTGTGATGGGCAACCTGCTAGAAAGACGCCTCGAGGAACAGTTTTTAACCGTCCAATTACCCTTTAAGTTATGAAGTGATATAAGTATTATCAAGAAAGAAAGAATACTTAAGTTGTTTGTTATTTTATTTGAGTTTTGCCTATTTGTTTTGAATATTGTAAAGGCCTCTTTTCTTTGTTGCATGTGTAAAAGTTTGTTATTTTATTTTGAGCAAACACATCGCATAATATCATCCAAACCATGGGAGGCCAAGCAACTCTTCAACTGTAAGTAATTTAAAGGAAAGAAAACTAGTTAAAAATGTCTGTTTAAGTCTTTTAATACAAAAACAAGGAAGGAAGCCACGACGGTATCAAACAGACTTCTTCCACAATGGCTATGTATAATATAATGTTATAGAACGTGATGCATCCAAGAAACATTCAAAGAAGAGTGAACATGATATTTTTATTTTTGTTGTAGCATTACCGAAGCAAAACAGTTGTGTTGAAACATGTTTATTGTTACCTGAGTTCCACAGTGGCGATGTTGCCCATGCCTCCCAGCAGGGCCCCTTTGCTCAGCCTCCTTGAAATGTAAGTCCGCAGCTCAGGCTCCGCCTCTGATGGCAGGCTGCTGTCAATCAGTGTGAGGCTGTAGGCAGGACAGAGAGTCAGCATGGATACGAGCAACAAGAGGAAGGTAATGAGGAATTTGGAAGCCACTCAAGTCAAATGGACGACGGATGGAGAAAGCTGATGAGCATTAGCCACACAAACCAACACAACACACAACTGAGTCACATGGCTAGAACTGTGCCGTGGACATTGTACCATCATTTAAATGAAAGTCATTCACATTTTGCACACTCCACTTGACACATTGAAGTTAAGATATGTAACTCAGCAACATAGCAATGACCATTCAGAACAAAGTCACGAATGAAAGCAGCATTGACTCCATGTTGATTGGATGTCCCGTGGCAGCCCGTGGATACACCAATGCACAACAGTGAAGGTCAAAGAGAGAAACGACCACTGAAAGCAACGAGAAGATGGGTGGGTGTCTCCTTTGTTACCTAAAGTCATCTAGACTGGTTGTGGAGTCTGCTCGTCTCTGGTTCCATGCCGCATTTTCCGCAGCAGCCTCAGATCTAAGACAATTGACAGTTTACTCATCACCCTGTTAGTGTTTAACGCACACATCTGGTTTGACCTGTGAGTGTCAGTGTCAGCAGTTTTAGTAACAAAGGACAACAGAAACATAAGAGTGCTTTAGAGGAGGTAAGAATCATTGACTGTATGATAAACAGTGATACAGACAGTCACACTCAATACACACCAGGGAGCTGGTTGTATTCAGGGAAAAAGGACAGTAATTAAATTATGTCTTGTAGGATTCAAAATATTAATATTAAGGTGAGCACCAGTGGAGGAAAGTAACTAGGTACATTTACTCAAGTACTATACTTAAACACATTTGAGGTACTTATATTTATACTACTTAATACTTCTACTCTACTACATTTTGAAAGCCAATTTTGTACAACCTTTATATGACATATTTATTTAATAGTAACTTTTAAATTCTGATTTTGACACTCAATATTTAGGAAAAACTTTTATAATATGATAAGTTCGTATAAATTAAACCGTCCAAAATTATATTTAAGTCACTAAAACCATGAGTAAACATATTTCTCAGTTCCACCTTCAGAAATGTGAAGATTTGCTGCTTTTGCCTTAAAATATTTGAAAAATAATTAGTTTTTTCTGCAATGAAGACTTTTACTCCAATACTTTAAGGACATTTTCCTAATCGTACTTAGATACTTTTACTTGAATGCCATTCTCAATGCAGTACTTTTACTTGAAATGTTTACAGTGTGGCACTTTTTTCAACCACTGCTGTGCACAATAATAACAATCCAACAATATAAATTAATAAATAATATGATTTTTTTTGGTACATAATATCATTGTTCCTAACGCGTTAAATTACAGACGTAAAGATTCCTGCAGAAAATGAGAACAGCTGTCATAACATGTGAGGAATAGCCCGGACATTTACCTTGTGCCTTGATAGAGATAGATGGTGTAGTAGCTGTTCAGCTGAGTTTTCTGGATGTATCCAGTAATTTCTTCGCTGTCAAAGTCATCCCTCTCTTCCACGTCAATTGAATCCTGGAAGGACGAGGTTTGGGAGGTAAACATGATCCCTCTGCTGCAGGGAGATAACGATCAGCCGGGTAAAACTGCAGAAAAAAAGCACGTGTTTCTAGTATTCAATGTGTGTGTAGACGAGTATTATTGATGAGGGATAATTGTATTACAAATAGTAACAGCGCATATGAAACAGCTGTGTTAAAGGTTGTTGTGTTATCGTTAATGTGGCTTGTGCGCATGCGTGATCTTGGTACGTTCTCAATAAGGTCCGACTGGAATTTAAAAAATGTTTCTCTGTTCCTGTTTCATCTCTGGATTTACAAAATAAACGTCTGTTCATTTAAAAATTATGTTGTTAATAATGTTTTATAACAGTGGTTTAACTTGTTGAAATGGGAAAAATATGTTCTGTCTGTGAATAAAACATTTTGCATGTACAATTATAGAATGTATTGTGTGGCCAAATCATCTGGATTCATGGATCATAGTATAGGTTCCATCTTCAAAGAGGAAAAGGACTTTTTTTTTTTTTTTTTTTTAAATTAGACTCAACAACTATCCGAAATGGGTTGGAGAAGTAAACAATTGTCAATGAAAGACATCAAGAAACCTGCTTCTAGGTATGAATTGAGATAAGATAAGATGGACCTTTAGTGATCCCCTAAGTGAAAAGTCAGGTGTTATAGCAGCAACAGAATAAGAGAGAAACCCAGATAGTACACATGATAATATACACAGGTATAATAAGAATACTACGGAGCCCCTCGTAGAATACAAATAAAATGATAAAAGTACAAATGACAAATTAAATAAGAATACACTTACAGTAATGGAAATAACAAAAATAACATTGGTAAAACTCTGCTCTGTGAATGTACTCTATATTCATTGAGAATACATGTAATCTATTTTCAATATTAAATTGAACGGGGAGATGTGGATGTACATTAAATAGTGTTTACATATGTAAATTGTATTTCTCGAATAATTTATTTTAATTTGTTATTAAACAAATAACATGTTTGTACCAGCAGAGCTCGCTGTAGACCACAGCTGAAGACACGTCGCCGTATTGAACTTCCTGTTGTCATTTGGTAGGCATGTGTTTGAGTGTGTGCGTGTGTTTGTGTGTGTGTGTGTGTGTGTGTGTGTGTGTGTGTGTGTGTGTGTGTGTGTGTGTGTGTGTTTGTGTGTTTGTGTGTTACGGTACCGTCAGCTGCTTTATTTTACAGACAGTACAGAAACCATGGGAAGGAAGAAGAAAAAGCAAATGAAGCCTTGGTGCTGGTATCCTTTTCCAATGCTTAAATGTAGTGTTACTAAGTTATCCTGCTCTTATAAAGACCTACATAGAGATATTCTTATTATCATGTAATGTTACTCATCTAACTCAACTGATCTGTGATCACAACAACACTTGTGTAGCGTTAGCAGCATAGTTAGCAGACTAACATTATGCATGTTTAGTACGTGTTGTTTTAGTTTAAGGAAATATCACAGGATATAATGTGAGGAGATGTCTGATTTTGATACCCTGTGATTTGTGTCTGCTTAGGGGTTTGAGTAAACAAATGCACCAAACGTCTTTATGATGAAAAATATATTACAATGTTTTTTTTCAGAGGGGTTTCCTAAATGTTAATGACAGGTACTGTAACAGAGATTTTGATGATGAAAAGATTCTCATTCAGCATCAGAAGGCTAAACACTTCAAATGTCACATCTGTCACAAAAAGCTATACACTGGCCCTGGGCTTGCAATCCACTGTATGCAGGTGAGGACATTTATAATAGAAAAATCAAAAAAGTCCTTTGTTTATATACTTCACTCACTGTATCACTTGTATCTTAGGTGCATAAAGAGACCATTGATGGAGTCCCTAATGCAATACCTGGAAGAACAGATATTGAGCTGGAAATATACGGCATGGAGGGTATTCCTGAAAAAGACATGGAAGAGAGAAGAAGAGTCCTGGAACAAAAGAACCAAGGTATGTGATTAAAAATACACAAATGTACCATATTCTTAGATAGATAGTTTTATTGATCCCAAGTTAGGAAATTATTTTTGCTACAGCAGCAGTGTGTTCAGGCATTAAAATATTACAATATTTAAAAGGTGGAATGACGTTTAAACATAATAAAATAAAAAATGAACAGCAAATATTTTTTAATTTAATTTGTATCTGTTTCTGTTCATGTTATGCACAAACTCAATTTATAACAATTCTTTACAAAACATGTCTCTGTAAACACACCATACCCGAAAAGGAGCAGGGAGAAACAAATCATCTTATATTCCCTGCCCCTTTCTAAAAAAAAAAAAAATTGAAATAAATGGTCTGTGGTCACTAAATAGATGACTGTACATGGCACTTGATACAATGAAATAAAAACAATAATTATGATGTTAAAATAGGAATATTAATGTAAACAGAAGCATCATTCCATTTATAATCCACATAAATAACTTGTGATTTGAGTTTCACATAATCTTTTTGTTTAAGGAATTCCCCCAATGATGCCAGGTGTGCCACCAATGATGCACGGAATGCCCCCCGTAATGCCAGGAATGCCTCCAGGGTATAGTTTTAGGATTATTAATAGAAACTTGAATTCCTAGATATCATGATATCTTGATATTTTAAACATGAACATGTTTCCTTGTGTGCTTAGCATGATACCAATGAGAGGGATGATGCCTCCAGGTGCTGGGATGCCACCAATGATGGTCGGGGTGCCACCGGGTAATATCCTGCCTGCGTACGCCGTTAGAGAATACTAACCTCCACAACATAGGCATAATGTGTGGTTTTTTTGTCATTTAAATTTGTTTTAAAATGTTGAATAAGTCAAATGTGAAATAAAGAAGATAACACTTTAATATAAAGATATTTTACAACTATAATAAATAAAGTAGCATAAAAATAAAATAAATATCAGCATATAAAGATACTATAACAAAGCAAATCATCATTTAATACTTAATACCCTATTTAGAGCCTCAACTATTAGGATGGTAAATCAACTAATCATCTTTCTTTTAGGACCGTTATTTACTTTGAAAAAACATTGTAAACATTTCTTCTGTTATCATGTTATCTATCATCACTATTATTAATTCATTTGAAATGTCAATTTTTCCAATGAAAGTTTGTAAAGGTATATTGTGACACTGCTGTAATGAGGCTTCACTTGTTTCAAGTTTCAAGGCTTTTATTGTCATGTGTGCATAGCTACAGTGTAGTTATGACAATGAAAATCACATAATCACAAATCAATAGGTCACAGGCTCCTCCAACAGTGCAACACAATAAAACAGATAAAATAGTACAAGTAAATAATATTGAAACTTGTTCCCTCATGCTTTGAATGTGTGTTGCTGTTGTCAGGCATGCCTCCTGTGGGCCACCGCCCTGGCATCACACACATGGCTCAGGTTCCCCCTGCTGCAAACGTCCTGACTCGACCTGCTGTTCCTGCTGCCCCCCCCCCCGCCCAGCCTGGTCTCTCAAAGCCTCTTTTCCCCATTGCTGGACAGGTAAGACCTTCATGACACCATTTACAAAAACAAATTAATATAAAAATATGTATGCAAATATATACCTATATATATATATATATATACACACAATCAAAGACACGTTTATATATATGCACACATTAAGACCTAAATAAAAGCACAACAATCAACATATCCAAAAATAACAGTCACTTCAATATCTTTGAGAATGTACATTAGTGCAAGACTGTCCATAGCAGTGTAAAACAAAAAGTGTCTGTTGCTGGATTTGAGTGTCTGTGTGTTATCTCGACTCTCTCCTGTGCTGCAGATGGTCTGTCGCGTTGCAAGTGAAAGTGCAGATTCTCAGTCTGCCTCCCCTAAAGCTCTGTCCCAAGTATGCAGCTGTCTGCCTGCTCCACTGTGACACCCTGCAGCTTTACACCTGGCACGCACATCACTTTGAATAGTTTGCCTGCTGTGGTGTACTTGGGAATTCATTCCGTTTTATTTGCCTTAGCTGTTATTGCAAGAAATGATCAATTCTAACCAATTATGGGGCTAGAAAATACTTTGTGTACTGTCTAGCAAAATGCCATTGTTTGCATTTTGTTTTGCTACACATCTGCATAATAGAATACATCTAGGTTTGATTAAGCACCGTAACAACATGAGACAATCGAGAGTCATGCAGATTTGTAAATGAAGCTTCTTTATTCTGAACTGCTTTAGGGTAATATAGCACAGCGGTCTCTTTGGGATTTGTTTTCTTGCAGGCTACAAAATAGATGTAACTTAGTCATACTTTAAAGGGTTACTCTCCCATTTTAATTACATCAGTTTTATAGAGATGGCTTAGTCCCGAATTATAAACTTGCGTTTACATGCCATTATGAAGTGAAAATATACATTTGCACAATCAAAGCCTGATCATCTGTGTTCTTCTTGAGACTAAAATGGGTTGAGGTTTGATTTACCCACTTAAATCTCTCAAAACACAATCTTTGTAATGTCCAGTTGTCAAAATCAAAATGTTGTTCTCGGCCACTTTATGGCAATATATGACAGGCATACATCTTAAATACTTGATTCTGATTGGTCAACTACTGCATTCTGCTTCTTAATAGCAGACCATTGCTATGGATGCAATTATATCAACATTTTATTAATCTAAAACAACTTGAAATCAATATTTTGTGTCAATTATGCTCGTATTAGAAAAATGAAAAGTGCAAAAACCACCTTGACTGTCTTTTCTTCCCTTCTTGCTGAACCAACGTTTAAACCAGGCCAATTAAAGTAGCGAAAAATCGCAACAGAACTTATTTCTAGACCCTTTTCATAAAGAGCAGGTCTTGACAGTGCACACTCATTAATGGGAGTAACCACAACGTATACCTACAGTTTATCTCTTTATGAAAATGAAATGCTTTCCAGCTTCTCTAATGTGTTTTCTTCTCCTCCCTCAGAGTCAGCAGTCAGGGTCTCCCCACCCTCCCTCCTCCTCCTCCTCCTCTGACCCCTCGAAGCCCACCTTCCCGGCCTACACTCAGATCCCCGTAGCCGTGATTAGCCCCGGCAGCAGCACGCTCTCCAAACCCCCCTCCACTGTGACCAGTAAGCCTGACACCCTCAGCCCCTCCAGTGCAACCAGTAAGTTGATCCACCCTGATGAGGACGTCTCACTGGTGAGTACTCCACCTTTTTGTTGGCATTTTGTTATTTTAACACATCAACACACATACAGTCATTCTTTAAGGGACGGTTCATTTATTTGAGCCTTGACATTGATACATTTATTTTTCCAAAGTAAGTAGACATTTGAGGAGAAACTCTTTCACACAGCCAAAGTCTTTCCTTGTTTATTTCTCCTGGCTGATCTTCAGAGATTCCGTCTCGAATAACTTGTTCTCTTTTTCTCTGGGTGTCTGGTAGGAGGAGTTGCGGGCTCAGTTGCCGAGGTACCAGCGCAGTATTTCCCGCCCAGGCCAGACCCCCGCTGCTGCCCCCTCAGCGGGCGGCATGGCTCAGCAGCCCGGCATGAGGCATCCCATACCTGGTAGGCTACTGACTTCCTTTTATTAGTTGTTAGCATGTTGTTGGTGTGTTAACCATAGCTGTTTATTCTTAGCTGTTGTGGGGTACAACGCTGTACTTCAGGATGAAAATGTCTCTAAAGAATCTTTACCTTTAAACTGTCCCTGATGCTCTAATTTACCAAGCAATATTGAACGATATATGTGAATAAGGCATATCTGTAGGGATGGCAATGTCTCTATTATTGGATAGTTTGTCATGGTCCCCAGAAGATACATCCTGATGACTTTGGTGATCCCCTTTTTCTTATAGCACCTTTAACAAGTCAAAGTTTGTATTTGTCCAATACTTTGGTTATATTATGTTTCATTTGGCCGACGCTTTCAACCAAAGCGACACACCATAAAGATTTAAACTCAGAACAACAAGGAAAGTGCAGATATATTCACTTCAAGCTAGTCATACCATTGTAAGTGCTGGTTGATGATCAAATACCTGTATTTTGTACGTTGTTTAGTGCTCATTAGCATATTAGCATGCTAAACTAAGATTGTTTAGCATATTAGCATGCTAAACTATTGTCTCAGCATCAGCGTCTTAGCAAGTCACTGTTAACATTTAAGCACAACTGTGCCTAATGCTGCATTCATGTCATATCGTAAATGTGACTTTTAGACTTGTTCATAGTGTTCATGTCAGCATCCAAGTTGTAATTATGCCGGGGAAACAAAGCTAAATCTATTGAATGTGGTGTGGGATTATTAATGAACAGTACTTCAATACATCAAACAACTGTCTTGACGTTGAACCTTCACAAGTTGCAACATTAAAATATTTCCTTTCGTTCCTTAAGACCTGAATCAGACATCAGTACAGCATTATCGACTCTCGTTATAAGGTAAAACCCATATGATTTTTTCTATACATTTTTGTATAAAGATCCAAAAACCCTTGTTTCCTCAGGACAGTACGGGTGTCCGCCCCAGGGGATGCCAGGCTACATGCCAGGGGGGATGCCTCCATTCGGACAGGCCCCTCCTGTGGGACCCCCCGTGTACCAGGGAGCCCCTCTCCGGCCCATGGGTCTGAGGCCCCCTGTCATGTCTCCTGGAGCCCGCTACTGAAGCCTGCCATCCTCTCTTCAATAGGTTTGGACACTCAACCCTTTTCTAATGTCCTCAACTGCTAGTAGAAACCAGTATTGGTATTATATTACCGCCACGTACTGTTTATTCTACTACTGAGCTATGAGGAAGAGACACTGAATACACAACAAACAAAATAGTTTGATAGTTAGATGAACAGCATCACAGAGCGCATGGGAAATATTTACATTGTACCTAACCAAGACTATGAAGTGTTATTTGAAACCATCTCTGTTCTGTGGCTTCTTTTCCTTCTCATGTTTCATTCAGGTGTGTAGAAGTGTAGTAGATATGGTTCGTAGTGTTGTGAAGGCGCTGGAGTTACATGGGCAGTGCACACCCTTTATCAAGGCAAGTTTTATGTGAATACATTTCTGTTCTGAGCTAAAAGTGAGGCCTTCACAGCACGTAGTGCTGTTGGACTTCGTGTCCCCAACTTTGTTTGGTGAGGGCTTCATTTAACTGTTCATGCATTCAATCTGTGTTATGTTTATAGTTTTAATGGAGGAGATACTCCCATAACCTTAAATAGTTGGAGTACTTAATGAAGTGGTATATGTATTGTTGTAAAACTGTATTGTAATAAAATGTGGCAAAAATTAAAGACTCTTCTTTGCGGGACGTTAGTGGGATGAGACGTCACAGCAGGTTTGTACTCCAGTTATAAACATCAGTGTTGTCTTTAAGGTGAATCAACATAAATGCACATCCCTGCTTTTATTAGAAAAATGCTAGTAAATGTTTTACTTTTGAATTGAGTATTTACCGTTCAAAATAAATAAATGATTGGTAGTCTGTACGTGCTGAGTGCATTTGACAGCTGCATAACCTCCGGGTCGCTGCGATGCTTAAACCCAGATTTCTCTTCTCTCTGTAGCGATGCCATGGGGGAGTCTCAGTGTAGCCCTGTTTCAGCCGGAGGCAAGTCCCACCATTTTCTGTCTTCTCATTCATTGCTAGGGGCCCTCACAGCTTAAACGCTGTTGGATCTCAAGGTCCCCAAACTTGCAGCAAGTTTGGTGAAGGCCCTTGTTTGTGTTTTTGCATTGAGGCATCATTTTATTCAGGCATGTCAGTTTATGTGAATACTAATATAGATTGTACAGTATGTGTCATTGAATCTGTATTCTCCATTCTTGATTGGTGGGAGCTCCAGTAAGCTTGGTTTTCATTTAATAACTTCATACTGAAAGTGAGGAGTTATTCAATTAAAACAGTTTTCTTTTTTAAAAGCTAAAGAACTAGTAAGTAAGTATGGCTTCGTCAAATGTCTAATCATACAGCCATATATAAATGAATGTTTGTTGGGAGGTTTATGATGAAAATATGCTTGTAAAATGGCTTTTCCATTTAATCCTGTTTGTTTCATCAGCTGTCCTCACTTGATCATTTGAATTTACATGAAGGAGGACCCTACCAGTACCAGGTTAGTTAAAGCTGTAAGTACCACTGATGTCACTTTAACATCCATCGACCTGAGTTTTGTACACATGAGATCTTAATGCCTCATCTTATTGAAAAACACAAGATGAGCCCACAACAATTCTAAAATATTTTACATGATGACTATGATCACTATGATCTCGAGAAACAACTCGAGGCAGGAATGTCAAGTTGATACTTGAGTGTCAAACATATTTATTTTGTTCTAGTTTGGGATTAATATGATTATCATTTCCATATAAGGTTTGATGGGTATAACCACCATTTTATTTAAGGATGAAATGCTCTACATGAGCAATACAGAGTCTTCACTGGTAAGTAGGGATGGGTATCGTTTGACATTTATCGATTCCGATTTCGATTCCGGTTCTGCTTATCGATTCCGGTTCTTATCGATTCCCCGTTTCGATTCCAAAATTGTAAAATAAAGAGGTCAAACGTTTAGATAACAAAAATATATTTATTCTTAAAAGCTTTAACTGAAATTGTTACTAAAAAATATACATGCAATACAAATGTATTGCACAATAGCTGTGCTTTATTTTAACTGAGCTATGCCTGTGGCAAGCTATTAACAGGCATTACACTTTGCCTTTTCTTTTTCTTTTTTAGTGTAGTGGAGCATCACTTCAGAGTGTTTACCGCGACCTATCTTTGGTGTTATGAAGTGACTGAGCTCGTGAAATGTCTACGGGAGGGCGGGGGAGCATCGCTGCGGGGCAACTGTGGACCTCTGTCGCCTGTCAGCATTTATATGATGCCATTTAAAAAAATGAAGGGCGGTGCAGGCCATCAGCGTACCGAGCCGGCCGTCAACGGCCCGCTGACGACCGGCCGTTCTGTGATTCTCCAGGTCCGCCCTGTATTCCACCGGGTCACCGCAGCACCGCGGTGCAGACGGACCCGCTGGAATACAGGGTCTACCGCGTTTAGGAACCGTTAAGCAGAACCGAAATTGTGTATTTTGTATGGGTACCCGGTACCCGGCATTTTCTTATCGGTTCTCATCTGGAACCGAGTTTCGGTTCCCAACCCTACTGGTAAGTATGGATGCATCACTCTGTTTAATATGCTTATAGTGTTGTTTACATGAAGTGGCTATCTGCCCACTCCGGTGGGAACTTTATTTGTGTTTGCTCTTGTATTGTAGATTTGAAGTTTTGTACAATTTCAATACAGTATTTTGTTCCCACAGATTTATTCATTTGAATTTTGCTGTTTCTTTATACTGTGACTATGTTTCAATGTGCATTGCTGTTTTCTTATGTATCCTACTTTTGAGGTACAGTTTCTTTTTTAGGAATGAATGATTGATGTTTTAAGATTTATTAGGATTTTCTATTTTTGTGATTCATGAAGACAGAAATGCTAAATAAATGCTATTAGTAAATAAATGACGCCCCAGTCCAACATGTCTGGACAAACAACCTTATACTAATCCAGGTACTACTGAACATTACTCAATGAAAAACTCTTAAGGAAATATTGAATACATTGTTAATAGTGCAGCAGATGTTTTTCTTTACATCAAAAACTGAAGCTTCCCCAGCAATATTTGTTTTAGGATGCTCTTTAAAAAAATATGAATATGATGTGTTATATTTGCACCAATGTCTGAATAGTAATTGTTCTTGAAATAAACAGTTTCATAACTATAATGTGTCTTTCTAATGTCTCCCTTTTATTAATATTTTTTTATGTATGTGAAAACACTTAATGGGACTCCTTGATAGGAACTTCCTGTAAATTACCTTTGTGAATTTAGTTCATTTTTGTGAATTTTGACTGAGATAGAGATCACTTTTGCAATAATATAAAGGTGCATATTAGTGGAATGTATATTTCCGTAGTAAAGCATGTAATCTTTTGATTATAAGAGTATTGATTCAACGAGGAAATGTTTGTAAAACTATAGATGTAGTAGAATTTAAATCAAGACTGAAGTATCATGTTTTCATCAACAACTTTATTTCTTGTTTCATGCAGTAACTGATGAGCTCAATAATTGTCTGAAGTCACATTTTGACAATCAGACCCTAGCCATGACACAGGAAGCATTATTGCATATGAAACATTGCCTATAGGTATGTGCATACAGTATTAACAATCTATCAATTGTCAATGCAAAAACAAAAACGTTATTTCCAGTGAAAAGTTAAATAACTCATATTGTAGCCTTTTTTCAGCCTTGAAGAAGTCTTCTCATTCATAAGGGCGTGTACAGCTTACTTGTTGGATCTCAGTGTCCAGCAACTTGCAGAACAATGAGTAAAGGCTATGGTTAGGTTCGTGTTACACATCTTCAGGCAGGTTAAGAAAAGATGTATCATACATCCCATTGATCTCTTATTTGCTTTTTAACCTGAATCCTTCCATTATTAGATACAGAGAACATAAGAAGGCTGTGTTTTCATGCTTTAACATGACGTAAAAAGCACTTTTACATTTCAAGATGAAATTATATAATGAACAGAAAGACAATACATTAAGGGCAAGTGCTAAAATACAATAATGTATTAGAGAACAAAAATGCTTGATAAATTCTGAGTATGAAATATGATTACATGTTATGTACAACTGTATTGTCCTGATCTTAAAATCTCACATTTGCAAGCCATCTTATCGTGGGATTGTCTGCTTTTTATTGTACAAAGACACAAGGCAGACATTATGGTACAATCATTTGCCCTTTGTAGATCATAAAAAAAAAAAAACATATTCAAAATCAAAACATAATGTTCAAAATAATTACTAATGAAAAAATATATATACTACTTAATACTCCCATTAAATCGGTTTAAGACTCAACCTTTCACTTGTTTTCCGTATTGGAAAAATAAAATCTTTTATATTTTCATTTTTCCTTTGACCGCTGTATTCAGAGCTTCTTTTTCTTGAGAATCATACCCCACACAACAATGTGTCACAGGACTTGACCAATATTTACAGATTAACATTGTGAGCATTATTCCACTACTTGGATGTCACAGGCAACGAGTCCATCAAATGAAAAGCCCAAGTAGAAGGTAACTTGTTCATTTCCATTTGGCAAGGAAGCAGAATGTCGAGGATGGACCCTGATTTTGTCGTCTCTGGTTCCACCTTTCACAAACAACCTTCCATTTTCTGTCCATCCTTCAACACGTTGCAGTAGCTTCATAACTTCCTCGTTTTTCCACACTTCTCCTCCAAGCCATTTCAGGTTTCGTTCACTTAGAGTGCCTTTGACCAGTGCTTCGATAGCCGTTTTGTGTACAAACTTGTTAAGACCTTTTGGCTTTGCCAGAAAGAAGTGGGTCAACAGTTTCCTCCGACGAGTATTAAGGCTTTTTTGCTCAAAGAGTCTCTGCAGTGCATTAATGGCTGATAAAAGGAGCTGAGCATGAGCAGAACTGAGTTCATTGCCAGATTCAGGCCAAAACAGAAGGGAGAGAAGGAAGAGGGCACTTGGACCCGACATGTTTTTCCCCTTGGTAATAAATCTCTTGCTGAGATATTGAAGTTTGTCAAGGGACAGGAGCTTCGAGGACCCAGGTAGAGTACAGTTAAGAGCTATCTGGCAAACAATATAGTTTGCAAGTTCTGTTGGTTCCAAGCTATTACTTCTCATGTTTTCTGGGTACATTTCAATAATTGTCTCAAGTTTTTTTCCTGCCCTATGTGGGTTCTTGTCAAAAAGAAATGAGAGGATGGATGTAAAATTTCCTCCACCAAGCTTGTAGGTCCTAATCTGTCTTTTGAATGTAGTAAGCCCTTCAGCCTGACTGGCAATGTCAGTACTGTCGCTTTCAGCTTCTTGGTCACTCTCATCTGCTAAAATGCAAAATAATTCAGCATATACAGCACTCTTCCTTCTCAGCCATTTTTTTGGATTGTACACTTGTTCTGGATCCCTCGCATCAAGCTTTTCATCTTCTTCGCTAATGTCGGGTTGAAAGTAGCTGAGGTCTTCTGAAATGCACTCAAGTGCGTTGCATAAGCTCTTTTGTAATCCTTTCAACTGAGGATGAAACCCATGCCAGGTTTTTTTTACATCTTCTGGTATGTAGTCTGTTAGCAAGTACTGCATCAACTCTGATTTTCCAGTATTGTTTGAAAAAACATTGACTTCTGACAGGAATTTTAGCAGCCTGCAGCAAACATCTACTTCCCCGTAGTACGAACAACAGTTGACAGCCTCTTTCGTTAATGATTTCTCGGAGGTCCGGAAGGCAGAGATTCCTTTGAGGGCAGTGCTTATGATTTTAATGTCACTTTCAGGGGATGGTGTCCTACAAGTATCAACCAAGTGGTAAAACCACCTCTTGTAAATTTGTCCTAAAGTATCAAGGACAAATGGATCAAGTGGACGAAGAGATTTAGCTTCCTCTGCCCATTCAAGGGCCTCTTCAAATCTGAGCTCTGTGTAAAGCAGCCGGGCAAGCTGATGTGCAACGTATGGATCGTTACCCCAAGCTAGGTAAGCAGCTTTCATGAGATCAACAGCTTTCTGTACACCACCTTCTTCGGTGCTGATATGCTCAATAAGGGGTGAAAAAGCTGTGTCTACAGAATCACCTCTGCTCTTTTTACTGCGTTTGATGAAAAGATCTCTGATGAACTTCAGCAACTCGTCTCTGGCAAACCTATGATTGATAAGTACTTTGTCAGTGATGAGATCCATGGCAATATCACTCTGAGGAACAATTGCAGACAGCTGAGTCAGAAGTTCCTCCGCCAACTTTCGATGAATAATCCTTATTGATGAGATGTGTGTTGATGATTCATCATTAAGGTGGATGAAAATCATCCGAGCTTCATCACTGAGCTGATCCACGAAGGCACTGTACTTAACTTTCTCATGATACTTAGCTCTCTCAACATTGGTAGCTATGCCAAGAGATGCCTCGCAGTGAGATACAGTCAGGTAAGAGTCTTCAACATAGTAGTTCAAGAGAGCCACAAATCTGATGAGGCGAGTGGTGAGTGATGAATGATCAACTTTAAGTAAAAGGTTTTTCACAAAATCTTCAATGTAACTTTTATTGAACCCTTCGTTCCACAGCACAAATGTGAGGATGAAGTTTGGTTCAAAGTCCAGCTTGAGTTTCTTAAGTTTTTCTGAGAACAAAGGCTTCTCTTCATTTGTAAGCTGATGGCTGACTGCCACTGTTTGTGATGATGATTCTCTGCACATTTTTTCTGGTTTGTTTGACCTGTTGCAAATAAGGAGGATAAAGCACAACACAGAAGGATTTCTTTTTTGGGTTGCAATGACATTTCCAAGTTCCCACCTGAGATCATGTATGTAATCTGCATTGCGGTCCTCCAAGAGCAAGAGCACTGGCAAACAGTTGTCTTTGTCTCTCTCGTCATGTTCTCTCAGTCTCACTGCATGTTCACACACAGTTGTGATTTCCTTACTCTGTTTAACCACTGCACATCGCACTTTCTTTCTCCAACTCCAGAGGATCTGTCTTGCCACTGTACTTCCACCACTGCCAGGTTGATGATATATGTTCACACTCTCAATGGGACGTTCGGCCTTGTGACGCTGTTTAATCCTGTCCAGTATTGTGCTTGTTTCATTATAGGCATTCCTCTTTATGATATTTCCACACTTTTGTTTGTCAGACAGCCAGAAATTGATCCACCTTATCTTTCCACCATGATAGAAGTTTCTCTCAATTTGTTGGATTTCTTCCTCAATCATGATATCCACATTTGTATCATCACACTGGTCAACACTGATGATTTCCAAAGAATCTAACATAGCCTCTTCAACTGACTTTAAGAAGCAAAGTGCTCCGTTAGAGACAGGTAATTTTCTTTCGGGTTGATTCTTTGAGAGCTGAATGCTTTGAACTGTGGCGTCCACATGACTCAGTGGCATTTCAACAATGCTGATTTCTTTGAGTGAAGACATGTCACAAGACACCTGCGCAAGACTTGCCCATTTTTCGTAGTTTTTCTTTGACTCAGATATTACTGTCAAATTATCCTTTCCATTCATCTCTGCAAAGAATTGATGGAAAGCCTCAACAAGTGGCTGCTCAATATGAGACATGAGCAGGAAGAGGACTACAAATGACTGCCTGGGAAGGATGTCATTGCAGATGAGAGATACTGCCGTTATCAGTTTCTTCTTTCTTGTTTTGATCCACGTCTTTTCATCACAGGGTTTCTCTCTTTTGGGAAAGTTGTTTCTTCCATTGCAGAAAATCCAGCTTGGTCTCTCAAAAAGCTGCAACGAATTAACAAAGTCTGAAGATTTTAATCGATCATTATTTGCGTAGTTATCAAGAAAGTGAAGGTTTACAGCCTTCTGCTCCTTGTATTTTCCACAAAGACCAGATTCTTTGGAATCAGGGTCAAAATCAAACACACAGAAGATATTCATGTTTAGCAAGAAGCTAATGTGGCTGAGATGCTCGGTGTGAAATTTGTTGGTCACTATGATGTAGAACATGGAGTTGTCCATATGAGTGTTCCCACATAAGAGGATGGAGAGTTTCCTCTCTTGACCTTCTTCACGTTCAACAGTTGTTTGATTGCTTGAAGATTCTGCCTCTTCTCTCTCTTGGTCTTTCTCCCTGAGTCTTTGAATGAAAAGAACAAGGTCATCATCTGGTATGCGTGGCGTGTTAGCTCCGACTCTCCGATAAGGAACTTTCTCTTCAAGTTTGATTTTGTTGTCCTTCTCAGAGAATTTTGGGACACCAACATAGAAAAGCTTGTCTTTCACAATGCTTGCCTTTGGGACAACATCATACTCAATGACCCATGTTTCCTCACTAGTTTCCTTGTCAAGGACCTCAATGAATTGGGGGTTCTTTATGCAACTCCTGGCGTCGCATTGTTGATCTGACCCTCTAAAGCATCTTTCAATGTTGTCTAGTGCATCGACAAAATCCTCTCGACTCGTGACAGGAACCCCAATGATTTCACCATGCCGATGTTTACCTCTTATTTTATCCATAATCCCAAAATGAATGGTCCCATTGCTTCGCATATTCATGCACGCACATGCAAATCTTAACACCTCACTTGCTACCTTTGATTGTAGTCTTTTTGAGTCTAGTTTGTGTGCAATCTCCAGGGACTTATATTCATGACATGGATCAATCATGCTTTCAATTCCTGTTTCTGGAGGTAGCACATTGTGTTTGATATATCTGCAGTTTTTGTCCTTCTTGTCAAAGTTACGAAAGTCACAGAATGATACTTCTGTAGAAGTTAAGTTATCATCCAGCTCCGTAAGGCTACTGTCCCCTTCTGCTCCTTCACAAGGTTTTTGTGAAGGGGGGTTTGGTTCTTGGCCAGGGTTGACTAGCTTTCCTTTTACAATGTCTCCCTCCTTTTCACCTAAATCAGTTCCTTTTTTGAATTTGTTTGGTTTAGATTTTAAAAGTTCATCTCGTTTGTTCAGTAGGAGTTCAATTTGGCCACTTTTCATTTCAATTGTGGTGCTGAGGAACTCCCTCTGTAGAACTGTGAGAACTGGTCCTGTTACTTCCTCCTCTTGCATTTTAATTATGTAATTTTCTTTTATTCCAATGCATTTCAACCAGGAGTTCACATGAGATTCTGTCCATTTTTCACAGGACAGATTGCGCCATCCTGTAAAAGAAATTGTACATTTATAGTGTCATAAAAAAGCAGTTTAATATATTCAGCCAGTTTGGCGTACCAATAAAGACTGAAAAGAAGAACTGCTTATTTACATGGCTTATAGTAGCTACTTGAGGGGCCGTGCACATAAGCGTTTTTTATAGAGTGACATGTCTTCGAGATTCTGATGTATTAAAGAGCAACTTGCAGGTTAGAGACACCAGTGAATAAATGTGCAGGAAAATGATTTATACACTAGATTTTCCAAAAAAATATACATAAATATACACTACAGTGACATCTGGCGTCGTTTTTGTAAGACATTTTACTTCCGCATAAAAAAAACCTCCCCATGTGACGTCCCAGGCGGGAGGTCACATGGGGGAGAGCGGCCGGTATAACGTATTAATAAACATGGATTACAATGCTAGTTTTGACACAGAAGAGGTTGAACATGTATATTCGAATGCATATGACGGACCACAACCATATAATTATGAGCCTGCTATGCGTCCAAGAGACTAGGAGCAGCCAAGGATTAGAAGAAATAACGGCCATCGGAGAGAAATGGAGCTTTGGTGTGAGGAGAATCAGTGGAGAACAGGGCAGCTGTCTTGGTGAGTGACCGGCGTTAGCTACAGACAGCTGTTAGCTAACGTCAGTCACATCACAACATTGTAAAGTTAGCAATCATATATCAGGCTATAACTAAAGTAGTATTGATAATATAGTAACGTTACTGGCAGGACTGTTGATACTACGCATTCGTTTCTGTTATGGATCAGTATCAACAGTGATGTGATGTGACTGACGTTAGCTAACATTAACTGTAGCTAACGCCGGTCACTCACCAAGACAGCTGCCCTGTTCTCCACTGATTCTCCTCACATCACAGTTCCCTCCGGGAGAGAGAGGAACGAAAGGGGGGAGAGAGAGAGAGAGAGAGAGAGAGCAGCGAAGGGGGGGAGAGAGATGTAATACGGTTTCCTGATAAACGTTTTGTTTGATAGGCTTCAGCTGTGGAGAGTATGTGCTGCAGGGAGGTGGATGCACCTCGCACAACGAAACGAAAGCTAGCTCCGGTCCTTTTCCTGTTAGGGAAACTGTGGACTCGATGTCCTGACAGGCTGGAGTTTGTGCAACCTGCACAAACACAAGCTCACCATGATTAAAAATGGTGAAATGCAATGTAACCGCTCAAACCAACGACAAACTGCTACCGCGGATTGGGCAGAGAAGGAGTCCGAGAAAGTTGCTCCCCCATGTGATGTAATATGACGCGTTTGACGTATGACGTTAAAAAAAGGCAGTTTTTAGTAGCAGAGCTCAAAACGGCTCCTTTCCTTCTGAATTCCTGCCCTTATGTCTCGTAAAACATATCAAATCATGCATTAACTTTTTTTTAAATTGTAATTTTCATGCAAGGTTAAGCATAAATCTAGTAAAAAAAAAACCTGCAAGTTGCTCTTTAAGTTGTATTGTAAACGCTAACAAGCATTGATTTGCAACCCTGTTACTATCATAGGAGTAATATAGTTGCACTACACTTACAGGGTTGCATTTGCTGCGGTTAAATGTATTATCTTCAGTTAAATTCAATGTTTATGCATAATTTAGCATAATCTACATGTTTTAAATCCATTACTGTATTTTCCCAGAATATGAATAGCCTTTTTGGTATTGCTACCAGGTAGACTAAGCATATTGAGGTTGCAACAACTAACAATGTTTCTTAACAATTATCACAAAATGAACACAACTGTGTTTGAATGAAAGTAAGATTAAAAAAAGGTTAATATCACTTTCTAAAAATGTATTTCTACAGTTCTAGCCCACCATTGAGCGCTTCTGAAAATAAACTAATAAAACGTAATAGAACAATTTTACTACCTGTTTTCCTTAAAACCATAACAGAAAATTATAAAAGAAAGGGTTCATTTATTCAAAAGCTTTGATGTCTGAATGTTCCTCAAATTCTGGAATGACCCAATAGCAGGGGTAAATGTTTTTGAATGACCATTAATTGACAGCTCTTGGACTTATTACTCCTTGAAAAGTCACTGGTTCATAATTGCACTAGACTTAATGGATGAAAGACTTCACGTCTACACTTGTTACCAATATCAAGGACTCCATTTTGCTTAACTCTAATAATATACAACATTTAACACTCACCAATCTCTGAAGAACTGCCTTCCATTTTTGGGCTGTTTCTAAAGACAGTGAAAGAAGGTTTAAGATTGTTATATCATAATTTGTGTATTGAATCATTGACATGCACACTATACCAAAGAACACTCTTACCACAAGACTAGGGCACCCATTGTAGAAGATCATGTAACATTATTTTGGTGAGTCTGTTGGTGACAAAGAAGCATTAGTGTCCAACAATTGTAATTCAAATGTAGTATGCATTTTGGTTCGTTTTATATGTAAAGTTACTTTTATTTTCCATAATTCTATGTTTCTATGTTCTATGGGTTTTTCTTATATAATATTACTTTTTTTAAGTAAGCAGTAGGAAATGTCATAGCAGAGGTTGTTTTTACAACAAATTAAACAAAGACATTTTTTTTTTGTCATATTATTACAGTTACGATATTATTTCAGTTGGTTTGTGTCCCTTTTGTTGTTGCAAATGACTATTTTATGCTCGCCAGCCATACACATTACCCGTAACACCCACCTGACAGTGTACTTATTTGACTGTTAAGACAGCGAATATTTTAATAGACAAGGTATTGCAGATTTAGAACTTAAGTATGATATTTAAGCCTGCAATAATGTTTTAGCCACACTGGGGCTGTAAAGTGCAGCAGATTCAGGCAATTATTCTCTGTAGGATGAGCAGGCCTGTTTTACATTCACACAGTCATTTAAATGTGGTACAATATTTTAAATATATAATTCTGACTGCCTTAAAAGATGTTTTATCACACAGCATCAGTGTTTTCATAATAGTATTACTTAAAACACATTATGATAAATGTTGGCAATAGGAATTTATTTACCAAGAATCAAGGTCAAACCAACCAGCCAAATAATTGGTGATGTACTAATAATTGTTTGCTGTAAAAAATTAAATCCTAAATCAGTCATTAAAGCCAGTTGCAAAATATTAAATTTGTATTAATGTGGACCGGAGGGAGAGGGTGACGAGCATAAGTTTCACTTTCCTTTTTTATTTCAATTCCAACTTTGGTCATGAAGAATATGTTTCTCTGTTGTCCCCGTTCATAACGCATAAAACAACAGCATCAGAGCACGGTGCAGAGTCTCTAGATGAGTTTACAGTAGTCCCTCGTTCTTATTATACATAGAAAACTGTAGTTTCCCCACAGCAGCAGACGCACATTTATGACGTCCGCTGGCACATCATAATACGGATAGTGAAAGTGCAGTCGGATTCTCAAAGCACCGCAGTCTCTTCTCCTAAATCCTTTTAAATTCTCCTATCCACTATTCCTTAAAGAGCCTGTGACAGCATCCCAACAACTGTTGTGCAATGAAATATTGGGCTACTAGTAATCTTGAACCGTCAGTTTAAAAAAGAAAAAGCGATACCGTTCCGTTAAATATCAATAATTTCGAACATCGCGGGGAAATTCCTTCGACTCATTTTGAAGTTTTGGGGGAAGCCGGAAGTGACGTCAATGCGGGAACGCTTCACTGTGCGGCGAGAGAGCTAAACACGGACAAAGTGTGTTGTCATGCGTAGAAATGGTGAATTACTGAGTTTAGGCACGTTAATAACGTTTTAATGAAGTTGACTACAGTATATTCATATTTGTCAGTGCTTTCATGTCAATTCGGTGAACATAAACATAAATGATCGTGGTGAAGATGATGATTACATTAGGATTAAAAATCGGTAGTGAGAGCTGCTGAATTTCCTCCCGTAGGATGTGATATAAAAACAAATCGATTATTTTTGTAGTTGTAAACTCAAGTGGATGAAACTACATGAATTAGTGCTTTCATGTCAATTCGGCAAACATATGATAGATTAAATGATCGTGATAATGATGATTAAAAATCGTTTGTTTGTGCCGGTCTGCATTTCCTGATGAGAAAACAAACCGATGCTTTTTGTAGTTGTAGTACACCAACACAAACGTGTGTTTTTTTCACCACAATGTTGGGGAAATTAATGGATAAAATGCACGGATTATTATTATTATTATTATTCCCACTCCGATCGGGACACTAGGTCCACCGTTTCCCCGCAGCGAGGCTCCCCCCGTTGACAGTTTACGTGGGCTGGGTGCAGTCGCGGACTGGCCATCGGGACGAATCCCGATGGGCCGGTACCGAAGTGGGCCGGTCGGATAAATCACTAGCACATCCCCCATAGGCGGCGCGTGAGGCTCAGGTTTGGGAAGGCTAAATAACTTGTTTTACCTGACGCTGCCCGCCTCCGGCGTCTATAGAAAAGAGATCAACTCAGTGTGCGGCGTTTAAATCTCTCAAGTCATATTACAGGATAAAGGAAATACAGTTTAAACTGCCGTAGGCCTATGCAGAGAAGACGCCGACGTGTCGCACTTATCATTCATATTACATCATCAATCAGATCATCGATCATATAATATCATATATTTCCTTATCTGCCGTGTCTGGCCGTGCAACACTTACAGTGTCACATACTGTATGCAGAAGTATTATTTTTAGCAACACATTATGTTGAAAACACAGTCAAATGTAATTAAAGTCAGATCCACTCGTGTTTTAGACATGAATGCGCTCTCAGCTGGTGAGAGAAACCCTGGCTTGATTTACCGAGTTGATAACCAGCGTCGTAGGACGCTTAGCGAGATCTCGTTTGTTGTTGTTAGTTTGTTTGTTACTCAAACATATCCAGGGTCTGTTGAACTGGCTTCGTAGTACAGGGCACAGGTGGCTGGCAGCGCTAATGTCAAAGACACAGACATTGCATTATATTTGTATTTTACCAGGATACAGTGACACAAATATTTACATATTTACATTTACTATCTACAGCACCCGTCGCCCCTGACATCCCCCACTCCCCCCGTTGACAACTTACTAGCGGTACCGAAGTGGGCCGGTCGAGAGTCCCGGGATGATTTTTAGTCCCATTCCACCACTGGCTACATGACCGTATGATCGCCCATATTGACGCACCTAATTCCTAAACTTCTAACAGATACAACATAAACCGATGCTTCAGCCTCATATGAGCTCTCAGACACGTTCAAAATGAAACTGTCTGAGCTGTCTGAGCTTGCTGCTGTGTGCGCCATTGTGCGTTTACATGCAGATGCTGGGATCCTGAACGGTGCAGCTGGAGCGCTGTGCCCGCAATGACGTCACACGTAATTTGGCGGGACTTGAAGAATCCCCGAGAAGATCCAGGAAATGGTCAACATTGAAGGGCAGATTAATGGTTATCAAAGTACAAATATCCAAAATCAGTTCAGTAACGGTTTTCAAGGGGACAATATTTACTCAAATTGATGGGTTTGGATGATGGGGGAAACTCGTGTCACAGGCTATTTAACCCCGTGACGTTTCACTCAGAGGTCAAGGAATAGACGATAGCGATAGACGATAGGAGCTGATTTTTTTACTATTTAACCGGAACCCAAGTAAACAAACAAAGTGGCGCAGACCGCGTACATTTCGCGCAAAAACCACACCATAAATATCACCCAAAATGCTATTTCTTATGGTGGAAACTTAAGGAAAAACTGGTTAATAATGTACCCAAATTGACACTAAACAACATACATCACTTTCATCAAATTAAAAGCCGGTTTACCACACACAATTGTAATAAACTGCAACACAATTCCTAGCGCAACTCACCCTCAGCAGTGCTCACTTCAGTGTGAGGGGATAGCAAGGATGTGACAGAGCCCTAGAAAGCGAAGTCCCTCCCTTTCCGGGGGACCTCCATCGGACCTTATCTCGGAAAAAGTAGGCTTGCTGCGGCCGCGGACAGTATACGACGGTACACGATAGTACACGACACGCCCACCTGACACGACGGTGGCTGAGAGGCATGAAAAGCGAATTGACGACACGCCCCCTACTACGCCGCCTACGGTGGCTGATAGATCGTACATAGCATGTTATTGTAGCATTTTAAGCAACTATTAGGCAAATACATTAATAACCTATCCGTTTGAGAACCCCTTGGAACCCCTTATACCATTTTGATGGTTGACATCTCATTTGAACAGAGAAAGCCAGAATGACATTTTTTTAATAATAATATGTTTACTGTATATTATGACAATGCTTGTCATGTAGGAATACTGGAGGTACCGTTACAATGATGTATTAATAATAAGATATATATAGCGCCTTTCATGAGACCCAAGGTCGCTTTAAAAAGAAGAACAAAACAACAAATAGATTTGGGGCAAAGGCCTTGGCAGACAGATGGGACTTAAGGGCCCTTTTGAAGGCGTCAAGCGTGGGGATGTTGCAGATCTCCGCAGGGAGAGCGTTCCAGAGAGTGGGGGCTGCCATACTGAAGGTTCTGTCCCCGAAGGATCGCAGGTTGGTGCGGAGGGCCAGAGTCTGAAGACCGCAGGTTCCGGGGTAGGGCATGTGGGAATTGTATTGATTTGATACAAGCAAGCCAGTGTTTCATTGTGTACTTTCAACTACAGTATATGGTCCGGCAAGTTCAGCATTCACTGTGATGTATATAAAATAAGACACTGATACCGTTTTCCTCAATGAACATTTATTGAACAGAACATCATAAACATAAAAAAAAGATTGAAAAAAAACTCCTCGGAATCTTTCACAAGTCCTTCAGCCTTTGGTGCACTTCCTCACTCATGTTCTTGGCGAGGTCATGAGAACAAAGTTCCATCTCACTGATAAGACAAGATGGTATAAAGAAGTCATATGTAATATTATAAAATCACATGCATCAGGGGTTGTACACTTTAATGTTTCCATTCACTAACCGACTCTTTAGGAAGGAAGCTGTAAGGCCTCTTGTTATAGGAGTGGTCCTCATCAGTGTCCAGGGGCATCAGACAGTCAACCAATATTTTGACAGTGCTTTACATGCATGGTTTAACTCCTCCAAAAATGATCCAGGCTCGATTCAGAATGACACAATACCACACAAAACAAATGTTGCATGTACCATAAGTTCGATGTAGTATGTGTTAGATAGATACGTTGAGCGATACACTGACCATGGTGCTGCTTGCATGCGTCCTTTTACGACTGATCCTGAATGTAGGTGGGACATTGTCGCTAAGGGTCACCCTGCCTTCCTCACTATAGTGAGCAAACTTCTTTCCATACCTGCAATTAAGACACATTTTCTTCACCAGAAGGTTGCATTTTAGAGCCAGGTGTTCCCCCCAAATCTTCTTGATAATACAATTACAAATTCAAATGTTTTTGTAGCACTGCAGCATACCCTTCCAGTCCAAAGTTTTCCACCAGGATAACACACCACCACCTTCTCAGGAGAGACATGTCATGCTAAAGAAAGAGCATCAATTTTCATTAAGTTTGTTATAGCATTTTAATGTGACTTCTTTCCTTAATACTTACAATGCTGAAGTCAAAGCTGGCCTCCATGGCAAAATACCAGGCATACTGTAATGAGAATTTTTTTAGAACATGCAAGACATAATATACACGTGACGGCTTATAACTTAGTGAGAAAGTAGTCACACACCTCCAATAAAATGTGGAGGTGATAACGCCACAAGAAAGATGCACGAGAGGCCTACCTATACGTGAACATTCCTTAAATCCTTTTATTATTGCACACCTGTTTATTTGCAAGTGCATAATGTGAGAGAACATTGGGATTCAAACAGAACGTTTGTCAGGTCTAAGTGGTGGTGAATCACTATTACATGTATTTACAAATGAAAGGAGCAATCAATTGTGCCATATCACGGCCTTATCCTTACTCACCATTATCATGAAGACACCACAGTCATTCCCATATATATATATGGGAATGAGAATGGGAATGAGTGTGGTGTCTTCACAGTGTAATGTAATTGTGTTTATTTTGCTATATATATATATATATAGCAAAATAAACACAATTACACTGCGCTAAACAGCCACATCGACAAACAAACGAGAACCTAAATAGTATGTAATTATATCTAAAACCACAATACGTTAATTACCTGTACTCGGTGCGCCATATTGTTTGTTGTCTGTTGTCTGTAAACCTCCATGTCTCCTTAAATATTCTTGCGTCAGCGTCTCACGTGTTGGACGTGCTCTCTTCTGACCATATTTGGAAGTAGAACTTTCGCGGCCGCAGCTAGACCCTTCTCAGCCACCGTAGTGTCGTGTCAGGTGGGCGTGTCGTGTACCATCGTGTACCGTCGTGTACTGTCCGCGGCCGCAGCTAGACCCTTCTTATGGAAAGCCTAAAGTGCCACTATTCGCCCGTATAAAACGCGTTTTTTATACGCGTCAAAAACGCTCGTTTTTACCAAGCGGCAAACTGTGGGGTAGAGCCGGGAAGCCAATACGGAAGTGCCACACACTGTAGTTCCTATATTGGCCGATAGGCGATGGCTGCAGAAAGGAGCAATTTCCATAGACCCCCATGTTAAAATGCCCGATTTTACAGCAGAAAAAAACATGTTTCTACCCCTGGCTCCATACATTTTATTATCGATATAGTTAGATTCCACCTTCATGATTATGGATCTGTGAGTGAATTGTTTTCTAACTCGACCCTTTATATTTATATTAGGTCTTAAAGTTTGTGCATACATTAGGGCGTGGTCACTTTGATTGACAGATACGTGCCTCACTGTCAGCTAACAGCAACTTGTCCAATCTGCTAGGCTACAACCATAGAGGCTACAACGTTAGTTAGTTGTAGTTACTGTACTTGATCCTTTAGCTGTGTTCGTGGTGATCGTGCCTGTTAGGGAATATTGTTACAAATACCAGATAATTAAAATGTCGTGCTGTGCGCTTGAATGTACTAACAGATCTTCCAAGAAGTCTACTTTCAGCTTTTTTCGGTGAGTAAAATGATAATATTATACATGTTAACCCCGTTAGCAGGTGTTTGTGTGCTTGTTAGCTTAGCCTGTTATGTAGCTTATTAGCCAGCTAAGGACGTAACCCTTTATACATATATACAGTTTAGTTTATGATTCAGCCTTGGGTAAGACTTTTATACTATATGGCTATGACGCCCATAATGCTAAACGGGAGCAAATGTTAAAAGGGGTGGGCCGCCGGAGTCCACGCCGCCGAAGCTAACGGGGCTGCAGGGTGCTAGCTCGCTAGCGCGTCCCGGCGGCCGTAGCTAGCACCCAGGGGCTCCGTTAGCTTCGGCCAGCGGCGGAGTCCGGCGTTATAACTGGAGATCAAGGAATGCATCGTAACGCGGACTTGGTTCGCCTGCAGCCCGCTGTAGTATTAGCTAAATAAATGATGTTGAGCAAGGCTTATTAAGCTGAACACCGCCACAATTATTCTGCTATGTATCGGTACTTATTTTATTTTATTAACGTGTGAATGACAAGCATTAAGAATAATACCAAATAGCTAATTATCTTGCAGATTGTCTCGTTTGATTATGAATGTAACGTTTATATAGTGGAACTACACTGTTTTATCAAAACCAAAGTGCCACGCAGTGACTTGGTATGCATGTATTTCAGCAGGAAATGTGCAATCTAGATGACATTTACCAACACAGACTATATAGAAATATTTGTAAAAGTTGTTCATGCGTTACTAAGTGAATATGGCATTAACCCTCCTGTTGTCTTCGGGTCAAATCTGACCGATTTACTACTTTCATCAATCATGTTTTACATTCGATTGATACTGAGAGCATGTTAGCTTAGCTTCTTAGCCTGAGCTAGGACTCGAACGTCACGCTCGTTGGCAGCAGGTCCCGCCCTGTCCCGCCTCAGCTCCGCCTCTTTGCCCTTATTTGGAGAAGGCGGGAGAACGCGGGAGTTAGACTCTGATGACACCGTCGAGCCGTTAGTGGCCGACTCCGCCTACTAAGGGCTTCACGGCAACTCTGCAGAATCCTATGGGTGACGTCACGGACCCTACGTCCATTTATATATACAGTCTATGGTTTTTACACCAAATAAACGCGCGTTTTTGACGCGTTTTTGACGCGTATAAAACGCGCGTTTTTTTAATATGATAATGAGCCCCACCTTCTGTTTTGCATAGCCAGTACATTTAAAGTGTGTGCAACCAATCAGTGAAGAGTTAAGTCAGACTAAAGCAATCTGTTGATGAAAAGTTCCTGTAACCTACCCCATTGTGAGATTTAGATAGAAAGAATAATCACAATAATTAAATCTAAATTAAACATTTACAGTAAATAATATAAAGTATAAACATATCTACAGTCACAATTTCATTATTGTTTTCATACTTTCTGTTATGTAGTTTATTAATGTTACCGTGCTTTCAGTTTCCATCCAGTAATATAATCAGTAGAGGAAAAGTGTGTGTGTGTACAATATAGATATTAACTTTACTCCACAATTTCCTACCGTATTATTAAATAAGTCTGCACAGCTGAGGGGACACCTGTAACTCAATTCATGTGATTTTTGGGTGATTTATTCAATAAAAACCTCTGTATTTTCAGAGTTAATCAAATGACAGCCACATTGTTATCTAAAGTGTCTCAAACACGTTTAAGGAGTGCAATGCAACTGAAAGGTACACTAATAAAAGTAAAACGTTGTACCAACAAAAACATATTAGAGTAATCAATCACACGAAATATTTTACATTGACTCAATTTCTTCAGATCAATCTGTATATTTTAACAGCAGAGCACATTTATTTGAATGAAAAACAAGTTGTTCACACAACCAGCTTTGGCCTCTGAGGCAGCCATTACCTGATCTTAGACATGTTAATAAGTACCACAGTTAAAATGCGGTAATATGTGGGCCGCTTCCAAACATCAAACTCTTAGAAAAAAGACATGTCCTTATTATCCACTG